TTTGTTTTGGCTTACTATCTATAAGATCTATGAGTTCTTTTATTTCTTTCTTGCTAGGGAATCTTTGGATATTCCTATTATTATCTTCTAATTGGGATGTTATATAGTCTAAGTTTTGTCTAATTGTTTTTAAGGAATTTTTCTGAAAATATTCTAGTAACTGTTGAATTATTCTATTATTTTTGTTGTGTTCAAATTTTACACTCTCTGCTTAACTAATCAAAAGGTCAATAATACTATTTTCTAAGGGATTACTACTACTATGTAATAGATGCTTGTGTTCTTTTTGTGGAAAATAACAAACTAATGTATTATTATCTAGAGTTAATTTTTTCTTTTGTTGTTCACTGATTTCTAAATTAAGGTATTCTATCATAAAATCTATCTAAGTCTACCTTTTTCTTTTAAGATGCCTAAATGCTCCTGAAAATCTTCTATTGATTCTTTACAAACATTTAAATGGTATTGGGTTTCTTGTTATGCTGTTCTGGACTTCTAACTTTCTTCTAGGATAATTATCTACTTCTGGTGATCTTATTAATTCTTCTAGATTCCTAATTTCTTTTTGGTATTCTACTTTCCGTTTCTTTAATTCCTGCAACCTTTCTTTTATTCTAATAGATGTCCACCAAAGGCCAAACATGCAAACGGTTTACTGTTTTTAACTAGTGATTCTGGTAACAAATTTTAACAAGTTATAAAACGTTGGTTTTTATCAGTTGTGTTGATTGACTTCTGTCCTCAAGGTACTTTACTGGGATAACTATATTATTAAGGTGCTAAACTAAAGCTCTGATACCATTTTTGAACAAGGGCTCGGTCAAGGTTTTCTAAAGGCCAAAATAACAACCAGACACCATGCCTAGAACATGGAACTAGAACATGGAACTGCAAAGACGCCAACTTAAGGGCTATGGAGCAGAACTCAGAGGTCCTCTGAACTCAGAGGTTCCCTGACAGACATCCAATTATTGTTATGGCAAATATCAAACATGACCAAGTGCTCAAACACAGTATTGATCGTCAGTTTAGCAAGATAATAACATAATTATAAAAGTGTTTCCCTATTTTGGACAAGAAGTCTACTAAGAAAACCAAAAATAAAAGAGAAAAATTATTTACTTAATTGCTTATGTTGCTGGAACTACTGTTATCACCAGGTATAAACAGTGGTCAACGGTATTAACAATGGTCAGAGTATGTAAGTACAATAAATGGAAAAGAGAAAGTATATGAACAAAGGGACTTTTATTGATTGAAGAAGGAAGTACTGAGATTTTTTCTTCTCTAGTGTTCTGTACTTCTTTCTTCGGAGTTACAAACTATATACACAAATTACACCGACTTCTACCATGGCTAAGGATGAGAAGAAGAGTTCTTCTTTATCTAAAACTCTCTATCTTTTTCTCTATCTGATACTATCTCTCTGAAGTTTCATATGAACTTCACATGCACACTGATGGCAAACAAACGATTCCTCTCTATACATGCACTCTGAAATATGTATAAAGAAACAAAACATTATATCTGGTACTGTCGTTGCGCAATAAGAATAGTTTGGACAGATGCAAAGTGACAAAGGCTTCACATGGTCTAGTTGCTTGAAGACAAAATATTCACATGCTGATGGCGGAGGAAAGAGTTCTAGGGCTTGCATGTCTCTAAAGCTAAAGATAATGGACCTTTTTGCCATTTTGAAAAGTGTTTGGGTGTTTTTGAGAGCTGCTTGTTTCTTTTAGGTTTTTTCCTAAATTTTGCTAGATTTTAAGCTTGAGTCTTTAAGAAAAACCTCCCACGTCAACCAACCTTTTTATGGTAAGAAACCAGTTGAAGATAATAAACTGAATCTCCTGAGTCACCCACTCAATCTGACTTTATAGCTATATATGGTTTTGCAGTTGATAATCAATTAAGAACCCTTAGTAAAAACTTTTCATTAATTGGAAAGCCCTCGATTGTCATTTTAAAGCAGCTGAGAAACAAGCTAGGAAAGACAGTTATCACCAAGCCTACCCTGATAAACAACAGCGTCAGAAATTCTTTAATGAATGGAAAGATTACATGCGGTCAACTGAAGTTGAAATATATTATCTTGATTTTGTAGAAAGCCATTATATGACTTATGAGCTAAAAACCTTGACTAAAGAAAAATGGAAAATGGTAGATAAAACAGAAGTTGAATCTAGTCATCCTCCAGTCGAAACTATAGTAATTAATCATAAAAATACACCTATTTCTGCTAGTCCTTTCAAAGCATTTGAAAGTAATGATACCAATAGACGATTAATTGAGCAAAACAATTATACCAATCAGAGTCTAATCGTCATAGGAAAACAATTAGATAAATTGAGATCCAAATAGACAAATACCCCAGGTTGCTGAGTCGAAAATTAAGCTAGAAAAACCCTTAGTTAACTTCCAAGACTTATAGTCCAGTCCTACCCTAAAAATTAAGCCAACTATGCATAAATTGAAGAAATGTTAAAACAATTAACACCTACTAAGCCTGAGAAAGCCGAAAAATCTGGTCTTAAAGTTCTTGATTCCTTTGCAGATAAGAGTTCTGAATCTGAGTCCAAAACAGTAATATTTCAAAAATTGAAAATGCTTTTAGAAATCTAAAACTAGAAAATGAGTTTAAAGTCAACAAGTTAGTCACTCCTACAAGCCTAACTAAAAATTGGTATTCTAAACCAACACCCCCCGATATTCAATTTGAGAAAGAAATTTCCAAAGTCATTTTCTGTGTCTTCTGATAAGCTTTATGAATGGAATATTGATGGTCTTTCTGAGCAAGAGATATTAAATAAACTCCAACATATGTCAATGGTTGCCAATAGTTATATCACTAATCACAGTTTTAGACAGTCTGAAATTATGCCTTTATTAGTTGTTGGTTTCACAGGTACCTTACGGTATTGGTGGGATAAACATTTAACTGAAGATATAAGTCTAAGATAATTCATGCGCTCAAAATTAATGAAGATGGTCTTCCTATTTTTAATGAGCAATTAGGTTGCGGTATAGAAGATGGTGTCAATACTTTATTTTATACTATAATTGAGCATTTTATTGGAACCCCTAGTCATACTAATGCTAGAATACATGATCAACTGAGTAATCTAAGATGTCCTAAGTTGTCTGATTTTAGATGGTATAAAGATGTGTTTATTTCCAGAGTTATGATTTGCGAAGATAGTAATCAACCATTTTGGAAAGAAAAATTCATTAATGGTCGTCCAAACTTATTTGCCCACAAGATAAGAACTGAGTTAAGTAATGAGCAAGGTCAATTGATTGGAATAATCTAACCTATGGAAACATAATTAGTAAAATTAATTAAGTTGGTATGAAAATGTGTGTTGATATGAAAATTGGTCGTCAAATACAGTCTGAACGAAAATCTACTAAGTATGAGTTAGGAAACTTCTGCGAACAATATGGTCTTATGTCTGTTCCTCCTTCTAGGAAAACTAAGTCAAGTTACCCGAGTCATATTAGAAAAAATTGTCACTATTCACGTAGAAAACAAGCCTTTAAAAGAATTATGATATCATGAGTTTTATGAAAAACGTAATTTATTCCAAGTAGTAAAAACTGGAAAAAGAGGCCAGGTAAAGAAAAAATGAGCCACTTTAAGAAAAAGTCTGAAAAGAAGAATGTAAAATGTTGGAATGTCAGAAACAAGGTCACTATGCTAATGAGTGTAAAGTTAAAGATACTATTAAATAGTTGAAAATCACAGATGAGGAAAAAGACAAGTTAATCAAAGTTTTAGAGTTGCGAGACTCTGAGACAAGTGAAGTTGAAACCATAGTTGCCAATTCCGAGTCTGAAACTAACCAGTCTTCAGATTCCCAGTCCAATTCACCCAAAGTCCAATTTGATTGTCAAGATAATTGTTTTAATTTAAAATCAATTAGAGTTCTCACTAAGCAAGAAGAGCAAGAAGAATTGTTAATTGATCTAATAAGTAAAGTAGAAAATCCTGAGTTAAAATCGGAGTATCTCAAAAATTAAGAAAACCTAATAAGATTAGCCTAAACGCAACGTTAGAAAAGTTTAGTAAAAGAAAAGAAGTCACTCTCCAAGACCTGCAATCTGAGATAAAACTAGTCAAGAAAGAAATTATTGAGCTAAGACAATGAGTCATAAACTTCAAACTGAGAATTATGAAATTAAACAGGATCTAATTAAATTGTTAGAAAAAGACCGTTCTGTATCCAAAAGTCAACCTGAGAGTCCAGCAAATTCTGATGATGAGCCATTAGACAAAGATCAAGCTCTTAAACTAATTAAACAGGTTAATTTCAGAAAATGGTATTCTAAAATCACAATAGTCGTTAAAAATTATGAATTCAATACAGTTGCACTTTTTGATTCAGGAGCCGATCTTAATTGCATCCAAGAAGGCCTTATCCCAACCAAGTATTATAAGAAATCCAAAGAGTCATTAAGTACTGCTTCAAGAAAGTCTTTACAGCTAAATTATGAGATTCCAAAAGCCCATGTATGTCAAAATAAAATTCGTTTTAAGATTGCCTTTGTTTTAGTTAAAAATATCACTGATGAAGTCATATTAGGATTACCTTTTATAAGTCTATTATATCCTCTCCATGTAGAACATGATGGTGTCAGTTCTGTGTATTTAGGAGAAAGAGTCAAGTTTGAGTTCTTAACTAAGCTTGAGTTACACAACCTGAGAACCTTACAGAAAAATATAATTTCTAAGACAGTAAGTATAATTCAGAATAAACATCGACAGTTGAAGTCTCTAAAAGAAGAAATTAAGTTTAAATAATAGAACAACAAATTAATGATGAGTCTTTACAATTACAAATCAAAATTTTGAGACAAAAATTAAGTATGATATCTATTCTGATCTTCCTAATGCTTTTTGGCACAGGAAACGGCATGTAGTAAGTCTCCCTTATGTTAAGTCTTTCAATGAGAAAAATATACCTACAAAAGCCAAACCGATACAAATGAGCCAAGAAATAATGGAATTTTGTAAAAATGAGATTACTGAGTTATTACAAAAGAATATAATTAGGAAAAGTAAGTCCCCTTGGTCGTGTCCTGCTTTCTATGTTCAGAAAAATGCTGAGTTAGAACGAGGTGTCCCAAGATTAGTTATCAATTATAAGCATCTTAATTCTATTTTAGAATGGATCAGATATCCTATACCTAATAAGAGAGATTTAATCAATCGATTAGGAAAAGCAGTGGTCTTCTCTAAGTTTGATATGAAAAGTGGTTTTTGGCAAATCCAAATTACTGAGTTTGATAGATATAAGACTGCATTTGTTACTCCTTTTGGTCACTATGAGTCGAATGTCATGCCCTTCGGTCTTAAGAATGCGCCCAGTGAGTTTCAAAATATAATGAATGAGATTTTTAATCCATATAGCCATTTCTCCATAGTCTATATTGATGATGTTCTCATCTTTTCTGAGTCTATAGAACAACATTGGAAACATTTGCATAAGTTTCTTCAGATAGTTAACCACAATGGTTTAGTTGTCTCTGCTAAGAAAATTAAGTTGTTTCAGACCAATGTTAGATTTCTTGGTTTCAATATTTGCCAGTCTCAAATCCATCAAATTGGCAGAGTCATTCAATTTGCTGATAAGTTCCCTGATCAAATTATCGATAAAAGCCAGTTGCAAAGATTCTTAGGATCATTGAACTATGTGTCTGATTTCTATCAAAATCTGAGAAAACAATATAAGCTCTTATTTAATAGACTTCAAAATAATCCTCCTCCTTGGTCATCTGTTCATACTGAGATTGTTAAGCAAATCAAAAGTCATGTTAAGTCTCTTCCTTGTCTTGGTATTCCTGCTATTGATTCATTCAAAATAGTTGAAACTGATGCCTCTGACACAGGTTATGGTGGTATTCTTAAACAGAAAATTAGTTCAAATTCCTCTGAGCAGATTGTCTGATTCCACTCTGGTGTTTGGTCACAAGCACAAGCTAATTATAGCACTATTAAAAAAAATCTATTATCTATTGTACTATGCATTACTAAGTTTTAAGATGATCTGTTAAATAAAAGATTTCTAGTACGAGTTGATTGTAAGTCTGCTAAGCATATATTAGAAAAAGATGTTCAAAATATTGCATCCAAACAGATTTTTGCACGATGGCAAGCTATATTGAGTATTTTTTATTTTGAAATTGAGTATTTGAAAGGTACTGAGAATTCTGTTCCTGATTTCCTCACAAGAGAATTTTCGCAGGAAAAACATGGCCAACAGAAAAGATAAGCAAAAAGTTGGTTCTTCCCAGTCGCCCCAGTTGCCTAGAATCCTCCTAGCCTCCATGAGTCAACACCCAGTCAAAACTGAGCCTCCCTCTACAATTCTCCCTTACCCAGGACATGAGCCCATTTCAGTTGCCAACTGATATAGTAGTCTAGGAACCACAGTAAACCAACTCCCCCCTAATTATCAGTCTACCTTAGTCTCCAGCTATGATCCATTTCAACTTCCTGCCTCTATTGCCTCCCCTTCAGTTGTCTATCCTAAAACCTCTCCTTACTTCCCCAGTAGTAGCACTCATCTGTTCATTATTGAGCCTCATATCCATAACATCCAAATGCCTGCCATGATTGCCAAGGAATATTTTCCCCCTGGTTTTTATTTTATGCCCCAGAGCCCTTATAAGTCATTAAAATATTATCGTGAGATCCTCCATGAAACCCAATCTGTCAGCATTAAGCCCATTAGAGACAAAAATGACCCCCCAGAAGATACTGTACCACTCCATTTATATCCACCAAATTCTGAGCCAAAAAAGCTGGGGAAACCATCCCTATGAGTTGCGCACCCTTCAGTCGTCTAACCTCCAAAATAATTATTCTGATTATATTGAAGCCTGGTATTCTATTTTTCTGCACCAAACAGTTGAATTTACCCATTCATAGTTTATTAATTTTGATAAAAAATTCAAGAGTCCTTTTCCTTACTGGTTTCTTCACTGGTGGGAAAAGCAGGGTCCAGTAGTTGAAATCCTCCCATCCAAAGTCACTGAGTTAATATGTTATTTTGCAAAAAGATATAAATCCACTGAGTCTGAGTTGTTTTTTCCAAGCCGTTATCATTTTATTGCCAGATATAGATCCCATGGATTTTGAAATGGAGATATAATGCTAATTGGACCACTCGAGTTCTGTCCCGTGAGTTTGCAGTTAAGTGGTGGGACAAATTTGTAGTTGAAAGAATTTCTAAGTATGTTTACAGGGATTTCCCTCCCGTTCCTGAGCCCCAGAAGCCAAGCCTTCTTCCTCCGGTTCTTCACAAGTTTCCCTCTCAGTTGAAGGAAAATCTAAGCCTGAGCTCCAAGAAATTGCCTGACAGTTGATCATTCAAGCTTCCCAATAAATGATGATGAGGAGAATAACAATGATTCGTCTGCATCATCCAGTTGCCTCCCTCTTCCTTCTAGTGAGCAGAGTCCGGCCGAGCCCATGGGATGGGCTAACTACCCTCCTGATAGTCAAGACCCCAATGATGCCTACTCTGCCTATGACTTGAATTCTGACTAAGCCCACAGTTGCCGACAAGTAATCATGCAGATTCCCTGAGACAAAGCAAAAGTTGCCTCGTGAAAGCAGTTTCCCCTACGTAAAAGCAAAAGTTGAAACAAAAGTTGCCCGGTGAAAGTAGATTCCCTGAGTGAAAGCAAAAGTTGCTCGAAGCAAAAGTTGAAGACAAAATTGAAAGTTGATTCGGTTACTTCTCGTGCCTCTACAGTCAAGTGCATCTGATGTAACTATAGTTTCTTTTCTTTACCATAGTTGTTTAACCTAAGTTGTAATTTCTTATTTAAGCTGGTTTCGGCCTCAGTTGTAAGACATGCTTCATTTTAGTTTTTCAGTTTAAGAGCTCTCTTTGAGATTCCCTCAAGAAAGCTACCATTGTAAATGCTACTATGTTTCCTCCTCACTAAGGGCTTCCAGTAAAAGCTTCTTTGTGAATATAAGTAAATAAAGTTGTATTTTCAATTATCTCTATTTTGAATTAAGATTCAATATATGCATTAATTTGAAATATCATGTTTTTATTCTTATGTTCCATATTTGTTTACTCATTAATAAGATTCATGCATAAGTTGCGTCTCTTCTACTATGTCTGCTTCTGCATTATTTTGACGGAACCTTACGATGTGGACACGAAATGAATTTTGTATGAATGTGGTGCCTTGTTTACGCCGTCCTCTTATTCTCACGGTTGAGTGGCAAATTAGTAAGTTTGTATAAATGTAAAGTGTTGTGTACTGTATGTGTGCTTATTGTATGTTTATTGCCCTCATATTGGAAGCATCAAGTACTTATATTGTTCGTGTATTGGTATATTATTGTCTCATATTGGAATCGTAGAGTACTTATATTGTTGTTTTATTGTTTTTGTATTGCTATTGTATTGTGTCATATTGTGATCGTAGGGTAGGTATATTGTGCTTTTATTGATGCTTTATTGATTGGCACCATAACATATAGCTTTTCCATTTGAGTAATGGTAAAGAGGTACTGTAGCAAAGGTCGTAACGATGGCGGGTTTAGGAAAGTTTGGTGGTTCTGAAGCACGGAAATATCCATGGAAAGATCGGAAAGATATCGATTCCATACAAACCACGGACAGTATACATACATGCAAATTTTTACGTGGAACAAAAATACAGTTATGAAAGGAAGAATTAAATACGAAAAAAAAAGGAGGGTGTTCATTTAAGTAAACAAGCAACAATTTGAAGGGATAGTAATTTCAGTACTTATAATGAACCTTCGAATTAAAGAAGCAATAACATGAAATGGATTAAAAAGGACAGAAATGAATGACATCAAGTAATGAAATAATTGAGCAACAATATAGAACACTAAGTAAATAATTTTCATTTTGCAAAACAGGTTTGAACACTTATAAATACCAGAGTCCATAGTCAGTAATCAAAAAGCGATGACTGGCGTTGTGGTTAAGTAGCTCAGAACCTAGAAGGGGGGAAGGGTTTCATCCTCTGTGTGTGTGACTTCAAGTGAATAATGCTTTTTATTTAAAGTTCACATCACAATAGATCGCGATATTATAGATAATATCGCGATCTGTTGACCATGTGTAGCTGCATGTATACTTTCCCAAAAATTCTCTATATATTCTGTTCTGTGGCGATGAGGACAATGAGCAATCATGAAGTACTACCAGTATCACAGTAATTGCGTAAGCTTTGCATTTGAAGGAGTTTTATGTACAAGATGCAATTGTAGTTAGCCTTCTAGGCCCTTTCATTTTGGACGCAACAAAAGGACAGCAGCATGACGATAGTGTGAATATACAGACATGAATACATGACGTTGTCTAGGAAAGGAAGCAATTTATGAGAATTTGACTACAATCACAATAGAGAACACCAAATCAAATTCAATTCAATTTCAAATCAAAGGTACATAACAAACGAACAGAAATGCTAATCTGAAACACACATTGGCCAGTGGAACATTGTTAATTTACAGTTGGTTTCACTGTGGTGATGGCACTGTATGTTCACCAATTTCTACTAATAATAGGCTCTCATTGCAAAGGACTTGTTACCTTGTTCCATATGCTTCACATGACCGTTGAGTGGACCGACTTCCATCCTTGCAGCATCACCGAAGCTATTCATCAACTTCGCCGTTGACCAAAACAGAGGTAGAAACTAAACAAGTGTAACATCTACGCAACGTGCTGCTTGTTGGTGAGAGGGACAGATTGTTTGCATGTACTTCGGTAGTGGCCCTTCACACCACACCTTGAGCATTTTTTTTGACGGGACTCCTCTCCTTTAGAAGCTATTCTTTGCGTTTTGCGACGGCCCGGCATAACCTTACAAAGAGGAGGGAGGATTTTGACCTTCTTCAAATTTTCGGGAATAACCCATGTGCCTTCAGGTGGTACAGGATAAATAGATTCAGCATATGCAGCTGCCCATGTAGCTCGTGTATAATAAGAAGAGGCAAAGGAGTAGGGGTTCAATTTCAAGTGCCGACATACCGCAATAGCGTGCTTGCACGGGAGTTGCTCCAAGTCAAACTTCTTGCATGTACAACTACGGTTTTGCAAGTGCACCAGACCGTTCAAATCACCATCCAGAACATTATACTCGACCTCATTGATTTTGACCACATTCATCCTTGACGCAGCGTCTAACCTCTTCCTTAACTTAATTTCCCCTAAATCAGGGCACAACGTAGAATGAGATTTCATTGCTAACTCTCGACGTTGCCTAAACCAACAGACAAGTAGATTTGTTATTTCGTCAATCAAGTGTAGCACCGGAAGCATCCTTGCAAACCGAAGAACTGAATTAATGGACTCCACAATATTCGTTATCACATTATATCGTCGTCCATCACAATGGGCCCGAGACCACTTCTGGACGCCTGCACGTAGTAAATAAGTTCGCACTCGGTCATTGTTTATCCTGGAAAAGTGACGATTGAACTCCGCTAGACAATAAGACTTAGCTGCCCTTACAAAATACCCCAATATCGGATCCCGCTGCTTCAACTTAAATGAGGCTTTGATATTGCCTTTCAAGTGATAAAAGCAAATACCATGGCTTGCCCCAGGAAAAACTCTACGCAACCCATTCTATATGCTAACCTTGCGATCTGATATGACAACGAGATTCGAGCAATCACCAATTGCACAATATAGTTTTCTCAAAAACCACTCCCAAGCTGCATCCGTCTCCAAATCTCCAATCCCAAAGGCAACAGGATATATGTTCCGATTTCCATCAAATGCGGTCGCAACAAACAAAACACCTCTATACTTGCACTTCAAATGAGTAGCATCAACAGCAATCACGGGCCGCATTGACGACTTAAATCCTCGTATGCATGCACCAATTGCCATAAAAAAATATAAGAAGTGATCAGCTGCATCAGTCTCAATGTATGTCAAAGTTCCCGGATTTGTACGCTCCAATTCATAACAATAGGAAGGGAGAAGGGAATACGACTCTTCTGCAGACCCTCTAATTCTTTTGAAAGCTAACTCTCGGCTTCTCCACGCTGTAGAGTAACTTATGCTCACACCGAAATTTTGTTCCACATCTTTCTTGATATCAGCTGCTGTATAAATGCTGCGCGAATCCTGAAATCTCCACTTAACACAGTCAGACAGCAATTCAGTCGTAGCTTGAGGATGATGACTACTTATATACGTTATATCACATTCATGAAGTGGATCGTATTTAACAACCTTAAACTCATGTAATCCAACTTTATATGCCCGAACTTTCCAAGGGCAAAGAAGCTGCCAACAGCGAACACACAACCGATGCTTCCCAGATTGGACAGTTCTCAATCGAAAGTGGCCTGTAATAGCTGCTAAACTGATGGTTTTTAAAAGGGCAATCTTATTTGGATAAACTCGGCCAACCTTCAAATTTGCTTCCCAATTTATGCACGAAACGCCTCCACCATACTGAATATATTCCAAACTCTGACCATGCTTCAAATCACCCCAACTTGTATGCATTTCAGTCGAACTTGATTGTCGGGGAGGTTCGGATTGCACCTGTCTACACTGCACAGTGGACGGTTCGACATTGCTGTCCTCATGAGGATGCAGAATCGGAGCAGACTGCGGTTCCTCTTCGTTGCTAGGTTCATTGAAATCAGCAACTATGTTTTCACCACTTTCAAAATTCACTTCTTCAACCCAATCACTCCAATTAAAATCATTCCCACCATTTTCAGTTTCATTGTCCCGAATTACCACATTTCTTTGTTCCACAACAAAGTCAGCAGGAGCATTGCTACTCTCAACGCTTACAATGCCATTGCACCCTTCAATACCATGACCTTCAATATTTTTCAAGCTTGCTACTAAAGGGGTTACTTTAGAGGCCATAACATCTGTGTTGTACTTTACAAAATATTTAACATCATCATTGTCTTCAACCCTTATATGCTTACAGACAGATGAGGATACAGGAACTGAATATTTCAGTGTGACAATATATTTCGTGGGATCTGCATCCATGATCTTATAAATGCGCTGAACAAGGTCGGAAAACGTTACATTCCGTGACACTATTATGCCTTTAGCCTCCCCACCTTCGTAACTCTCAATGTTATCCTTCTTAACCCAACTTCCATTGTAGCATACCAATATTCCAACAGTATCCATTTCTGCAAATAACATAGATAATTACTACAGCAATGAATAAAACTAAAAAAGATACATTCAAACAAATAAAAACATACACAACAATCATTCCACTACACGTATCATTTTATAAATCTTCAAAACTCAAATTCTAGCTGCTTCAACAAGGAACTTTTATTCATTTCTGTCTTTTCTCTGATTTTGTACATAGCTGTGGGTTCCAAGTTATTCACAAACTCACATAAACATACCATGGCAGCAATATGAACCCTCTAACCTCTAAGGGTTTTCAACAAATGTAAACAACTTCAACAAAAGGCTCAGGTTGTGATACAGAACATATTATGTGGTATAAGCTCAATTACCAAATTGGAAACCAAAACACACAAACTTTACTTCTTACCAAAACAAACCCAGAATGCCAATAAATTCCCCACATTAGCATCTACATTCAGCCTAAAACTACCCTAACAAACCTACTTTTAGGCCAGACAAAGTTAACATATGATTTTTCTGTGTGCTGTTATTTTGCCCATTATCAAACACATTGCACTACATTATACAAGCATTTGGTCAATTTTAACCAAAATTCAAGTTTACCACATACATCCCACTGCATATAATAACACAAACTATGAATTTCAACATATCATAACACCTTCAAACTGAAAATTTAAGCTCTTCTGCCCTTCTGTGGTGAAAAGGGGATGCACGATTTTATAATACACATACACTACCAAACCAATATCTGAACTCACCTCCGTTCACAACGACGCCGGAAGTCACCACTTTCGCTTCTCCATGGAGTCGCAACAGTCACTTCGATCTGGAGGTCAACAATGGAGGCGGTGCGTTCCGCCGGCTTCGCTACAGTCAAACTAGGGTTCGAAAGTTTAGGACATCTGGGTTGTGACTATGGATGGGTTGCGAACTGGATTGCTCAGTGCCAAAATGTCTCGCAACCTAGAGTTCCCCCATTTTTGGCAAACTGCGAAAACAAAGAAGAAAGAGGCGCTAAAGGGTTGATACATCTGCTTTTATATGGAGGGCACTTCGGTCATTTCACGTCCCCAAGTGATTATATTATAATACAATTTGTAGCCTGATTATTTCAGCGCACTTTTTCTGATTTGTGATTACACCAGCTTATTTCCCAAGGTCTTTTGCTTCAAGAGCACCTTTTGATTTCTTTCAATCGTAGTCCATCCCCAAATCTTCTCAACACACCCAACCCCCAATCTAGAACATGGGCAACCTCCACCCCCACGCCCACACCCACTGTCCACCAAATCTATCAAAAATCTGTCAATTTGTGTAGCAAATAATTTCCTACACAATCGAATATCCAAATATATGAATTTCTTTAACACTGAACAACGCATACTTGAAACTAAGATGGGCATCAATCAAAACTGAAAGGGAACCAAAATTGTGAGAATCTGTGGGGGGGGGAGGGGGGGGGGGGGGGGGGGGGGGTTGAATCTATACCTATGGCACAATGGATTATTTCATTAATTAGGGGCTGGAGGAAGAGCCGACCTGCTGGGGTTAGAGGTTCGTCGGAGTAGTCATTAGCTACTGATCAACCCATGAGAGAGAGAGAGAGAGAGAGAGAGAGAGAGAGAGAGAGAGGTCTGAAGAGAGAGCAATGAAGAAATGTGGAGCTTGTTTTCTTTCCTAATCTTATAATTAAGTGTATATTATTTAAACTAGGGTGTGTGGGTTGTATTAGTTAGTTGGATAAGGAGAGTATTAAAAATCTAATCAATTTAATATAGTCCGATAATTAAATAATACAAGTTAACACCAAACAACTGACATAGACTATCTACTCCTATCCAGAGTCTAATACGATGTACCAAACATACCCTTAAGAGTGTAATCATAAGGTACTAAACTGTAATTAACCCTATAACTAATATAAGAATTCTTGATTGTTATGCTAACATGTACATCACCACAAATGCCCTTGTTAGCACGCTCAATACCATCTCTCCTGATGGTGATCTGCTTTCACTCCGATGTGGAGCATAGCTAGAAGGTATGGAGACATTTACATGTGATGAGCCTGAAAAATAGAAAATTTCAAAATATGACATAGATACTAAGGAGAACTTGAAAAGAAAAAAAACAAGTTCATATAGACTCATAATTGAACTTACAATCATAGTTCGCCCATCCAATTCGTTGACGAGCTACATCGTACACGATTATCTTATCTTTTAGAACAAGATCTGTAATTGAAGAAACAAAAAAGGGTCATAATTGAGACAACACAATTATGACTAGAAAATACATTACTTTGCATAAGCTTATGAATAAATATACACTGAGAAAAATTAAAGAGGATTCATCCAACCAAATATCAACAAATTTTTTTCCCACAAAAATTCAATAACCAGCATAAATTCAGGGCCTAACCTCCTAAAATTGTCACCCCTCCCTGAGCCTTTTGAAAACCAATGCACCACACACCAATGCCTACCTGTAACAATACAATGATCCATTACACTTATGCCATACAATTTGCAATAATCATATGTCTAATGCAATGAATTTAAATAAGAACTTGTACATAGGGAGATGGAGGAACAACTTACATGCTGTGTAAGGTACTCTTCTGGTTTCAACACCATTGATGCACCAGCAAAGTTTAGACTAACTGCAGGAAAAACCTCAGCCAAACTGAAACATAAAATGTCATTTAGGTCTTCATAGTTTTTCTTCAGAGGGAAACTTCAAAAATATTTAGAGATAGAACCAACCTAGTGGTTACTTGATAACACTGGTTTTCTTCTGAAATGAAGGGAGTCAGGGATGGTGAAACAGCTGAAGTTATCTACACATCCCAACACAAAATGAGCTTTTAGTAAGGAGAAGATATCTTATTTTTCAGACCAAAAACCACAATTCAACCAATAAATAAGACCAAGTGAATAAACTTACCGCACGAACAAAAGGAACATAAGCTTCTTCAACAAGGTATGCCAATGTTGTTCCTGAGTCGATAATAGTTCCTCTGTCGTGTGATGTGAAGGCTGCTGGATCAATTGGCAAGATTTTCCCATTGACAGCAATGCTCTGCAGATTTAAATAATAATGGTGCCTGAAAATAATGGTGAAGGACGTTATATGAAAAACTCAAAGACAAATAAGTAATATAAGATAGCTAAACAAGTAAAAGTTTAGAAAGCCAAAAGTGACAGCATCTCACCAACCCTTGGTGAATAAATTGATTTCATATAATAAATTGTAGCAACACACACTAGAAGAATTTTGGGCAATAATCACTATTTTTTTAACCAGTTATCATATAAGTTACTATTGTCCTTTAACTTAGGCAAATTTTACTCTTTATTGGTAAGTTGAGAGTTGAGACTATTAATGAGTTTGTTTTCCAGTAACCATTAGACAAAAATAGACTAGGTTAGAAATGAGGCTGTCTTGGTTATGCAAACCAACGGAAATCAGTGGCTATAAACCCTTGTCTTTATTTCCTTCTCCCATTACCTTGTCTAAACCCTAGTCTTTATTTCCTTCTCCCATTTCCCTTCCCACCAAAATTCACAGTTTGGTAGTAAAGATTACAAGCATAAAGAAATAAGAGAGGTTTCCAAGAGACGTACCGTGGTGGAACAAGAGGACTGTAAACAATACTTGGCTCCAGAACCTCGCCAAGAACAAGTATACCCCCTCCTTTTTCATCTCCCTTCAAACAATGAGAGAACACTTTGGGAGTCAACCCTCGAGATGACAACTGCGATATAACGGATAAAGGCCCTTGGCTAAATCCCAATATCCCATCCAGTGTTGAAAGTGAACTAGAAATAACCCCAGACTCATAGGTAGTGCACCTGTATGTTTCCAACACCATCAGCCAAGGCAATTTCAGAATTAATTCAATCAAAACAACACAACATACTTATAATCAGAGAAATTATTCTACATAATATTAATTATTTTGTTCTAAACGATGGGATTGAGAAATTGTATATGAGAATTAGATTTCATTGATGTGATCAACGAAGATACAGAGATGTCCTTATATAGGCCTGATACAACAATACAGATCCTACGGATTAGCTATTTACCATACATGGTTCCTATGTTAGACAATTTATGTCTTAAACCACTTTAATGTGGTCTTCTAATCATCATAGGAGATCTAGGTCTTTGTATTGATTAAGAACTTAATTAGAATTGGTGTTTTGGATCTCAGGGAAGTTGAGATTACCTTCTGTCCACAGATGTTGGTGATCTTGTTTATAGAAGTTTATTGTGGCATGGTGCAAGACATGAGGTACATGAGTTAGTAGAGTTTTCTTTCTGTCCACAGATGTAAGAAAACTATCTATGAAAGAAATTCATGTATCGTGTCTTTTGGTGATCACTAAAACATGTTCAATTTTCTGCCTACATGTGATAATTGATAATGTACAGAAATTGGGGAAAGTTTGTTTATATACTTGTCTGCTCTTTTAAATCTCAGTTATGAACACCACAAATTTAAACACCATCAAAACACTGACTGGTTCCAACTATAAGAGATGGAAAAGGGATCTTGAAATATTTCTAGGTCTTTTGGACATGGATATGGCAATTAAAGAACAAGCTCCTGAAAAACCAAAGGGATATGCAACCACTGAGGAAAAGACTCATTATGCCAAATGGGAAAGGGCAAACAGGATGTCTATTCTGATCATGCAAAAATAAATGTCACCTACAATAAGAGATGGAATTCCACCCTTGAACAATGCTAAAGATTTCCTTGAGACCATCAGCCTAAAATTCAAGGAATCTGAGAAGGCAGAGATGGGATTTCGGATCAAGAAACTAACAGATATGAGATATGAAGGAGATGGCTGTGTAAGAACATATATTCTGGACATGATGGGTATTGGCATGAAACTAAGAAACCTTGGTGCCTATATAGATGACAGCATGCTGATATATTTAGCACTTAATTCACTGCCAAATGACTTCAAGTAGGTTAAGAGCAACTATGTGACACAAAAGGAATCATGGACACTGGATGAGTTGATTCAAGTTTCTGTGCAGGAAGAAATTTCAGTTTGCTTTGAATCGAACCTAGTTGATATATAGTGATTCTTGGTGGCTTGACAGTGGAGCAACTATACATGTTTCTAATTCCTTGCAAGGATTCACAACCAAGAGGGTGCCAACTAAGGATGAAATAAAAGCGTATGTCGGCAATGGAATTCAAGTGAAGCTGGAGTTCATTGGAGACATCAAGATTAGATTAGAGTCTGGTTTTATTTTGGATTTGATAGATGTGGTTTATGTTCTTGCTATGACAAGGAACTGATTATGGAAGCTAAACTGATTTTGGATTCTCTATTTTAAGAAATAAAATTTCAGTTGGGAATGGAACCCTTGTGAAAGGAATGTATCAATTAAATGTCCAAGCATCTGATCAAATTAAACATTGCAAGCACCAGCAAAATTCAAAATAAAACTCAATCATCTCAATTGTGGCATAAGATGAGACTTTGCCACATTTCCAAAGAAAGAATAAAATCCCTCTACAAAGAACATGTGTTGCCACCACTCGACTTAACTGAATTGGATGAGGTTTGCATAAATTGTGTAAAGGGGAAGCTCACAAATACAAGAAAGAAAGGAGCAATTAAAAGTACAAGTTTACTAGAACTTATTCACACTGACATTTGTGGACCTTTCCCAACACCGACTCATGATGGATTTAAGTATTTTATTACCTTCACAGATGACCTTTCAAGATTTGGTTATGTATATATGATAACAGAGAAATCAAGTGCGCTAGATATGTTTAAAGTGTTTAAAGCAGAAGTAGAAAATCAACTCAACCTTAAAATTAAAGTAGTGAGATCAGACAGAGGTGCAGAATTCTATGGAAAATTTGATGAGGCAGGCAGAAATCCAGGACCCTTTGCAAAGTTTCTGCAACAAGAAGGAATTGTTGAATAGTACACAAATCCTGGAACTCCACAGCAGAATGGAGTTTCAGAGAGAAGAAATCGAACCCTCAAGGATATGATGAGAAGTATGATGGCTTGCACAAATCTTTTGATTTTTCTATGGGGAGAAGTTTTAAAAACAGCAAACTATGTTTTAAACAGAGTTCCAACCAAGAGTGTGAATCAAATTCCTTATGAAATTTGGAACAACAGGAAGCCAAAATTAAATCATCTCAGAATTTGGGGCTGTAAAGCAGAAGCTAAACTGTATAATCCTATGGAAAAGAAACTAGATTCGAAGACCACTAGTTGTTTTTTCATTGGATATCCTAAAGGCTACAGGTTTTACTGTCCAAATCACACAACTAGGTTTATGGAAACTGGAAGAGCAGTGTTTATAGAAGAAGGAAGTGACAGTTTTGAAGAAAGGAAATTAGTTTTTGAAGAAATTACAGAAGAAGAAAATTCATATTCTCAACAGAACAACAAAAGTGAATTGAGGGTTATGCCGAATATAGTTTTGAGTAATGAAGAAGCCTTACCTCAGCTATAAACTACAACTGATCCGGCACAAACTGAAATGGATATTGATCCACCAGAAATTCAACACGATGACCAACAGATCAGAAGGTCACAGCGAGATAGAAGACCAGCTCTGCCAAATGATTATCTCGTATATTTGCGAGAGAACACAGCCTAGATGACCCAATAACATTCAAGCAGGCCATTAAAAGTTCAGAAAATGAAAAATGGTTGGTAACCATGAAATCAGAGCTAAGTTCAATGGAAAAGAATAAAGTAGAGATTCAAGAGGCTTCATTGATAGATATAAGGCTAGGCTTGTGGCAAAAGGATTCACACAACGAGAAGGAATTGATTACAATGAAACTTTTTCACCAGTATCTACCAAAGATTCGTTTAGAGTCATAATGGCCTTAGTTGCTCATTTCAATATGCATCTTCATCAAATGGATGTGAAAACCTCATTCTTTAATGGAAATCTCTCTGAAGAAATATATATGAAACAACTTGAGGGTTTCATTCAAGAAGGTGGAGAAGGATTGGTCTGCAAATTAGAGAAATCCATTTATGGATTAAAACAAGCATCCAAACAGTGGTATTTGAAGTTTGATGAAGTGGTTAAGTCTCATGGTTTCATTGAAAGTCCAATGGATGAATGTATATACATCAAGGTCAGTGGGAGCAATTTTATTTTTTCTCATTCTTTATGTTGATGATATACTCTTAGTAAGTAAAAATTTGACACTGCTACATGACACAAAGGCTTTTCTGTCACAAGCTTTTGACATGACAAATCTTGGAGAAGCATGTGTTAGGTAATCAAATCAGTCGAGACAGAGAAAGGGGTTTTCTAGGCTTAGCTCAGAAGGGATACATTGAGAATGTATTTAAAAGGTTTAACATGCTAAACTGTGCAGGAGGCGAAATGCCAGTTTCCAAAGGAGATAAACTAAGCACGGAACAATCACCAAAAACTGAGTAAGAGAGGTTGGAAATGGCTGACAGACCTTCCCGGTCTCTAGTGGGAAGTTTGATGCATGCTCAAGTCTGTACCAGACCAGATTTAGCCTTTGCAGTGAGTGTTTTGGGAAGATTTCAGTCTAATCCGGGACAAGCACATTGGGATGCGGCAAAGAAGGTACTAAGGTACTTGCAGAGAACTAAAAATTACAAACTGGTTTACAGACAGAGTGAGGATTTAGAATTGGTAGGTTATGCAGATGCAGACTTGGGAGGTTGTGTTGATTCAATGAAATCTACTTCAGGTTTTGTATTCTTGTTTGAAGTGGTGCTGTGTCTTGGAAAAGTGTGAAGCAAACTCTCTCACTGCAACTTCAACAATGCAGACAGAGTTTATTGCTTGTTATGAGGCAACAAGTCAAGCTATTTGGCTCAAGAACTTTATCACAAGTTTACAAGTTGTGGAATCAATCGAAAGGCCGATTCAGATTTGGAATGACAATAGTTCTGCAGTTTTCTTCTCTAAGAGCAATAAAAGGACATCAGGTAGCAGACACATAAAATTCAAGTATCTGTCAGTAAGGGAATATGTTAAAGAAGGCCTTGTAAAGATTGACCACATTGACACTCACTCTATGGTAGCAGATCCATTGACTAAAGGATTACCAAATGGAGTTTTTCGAAGGCAAGTTAGGAATATGGGACTGTTTCAAGTTTCGATGAGTGCAATTAGTGGGAGTTATTTGAGTAGTCTATCTAGAGTTCACAAAGCAGACAATGTTTTTCTAGCTATTTTCAGTTGTTTTTATTTTAGTAAATTTGGCTTACACCCTTCAAATTCAATTTGCCGTACCTAAAACCCTTCACTTTTTGTTCCTATAAATAATACCCAATTTGTATAAGTAAAAACCCATGACTAGGATCTAACTCAGCAAGTTACCTAATTAAGCATAAAATCTGATTTATTGTACTTTTCATATTCCAAAAATACCCCCAACTAAGCCATTATTGCATTTTGTATATTAATGTAGGAATCAATATGGAAATAGTTTTTAATTGGATTGTATATAATGACAGATGTTGAATTTGGAAAGATCTCCAAATGGTTGTAATTGATGTAAGAATTAATTTTGAAACATTTTATAAAAAATTTAACAATAAATTCAAATTTGGGTAATCGGTTTGTTTAATAAAATGTTTATGTTATTTTCTTTTTATGAATTATACATGACTAATAATCCACTTTATAATTGTTTATGAATAAAACTGTACATACTGATTATGTTGAAAAAATAATGTACCTATTACTTGTTTGTTTTATGAAAAATATAATTTACCTAGTATGAAAAGTGTACATAATTATCTATTCCAATATACCTACATTATACGACATCCAATATACCTACATTAATTTTAATGTACTTACAATTAGGATTTAGGTATTATATGTCATCCAATGTACCTACCATTTGAATAATATACCTACTACGAATAAAGTACCTATTATTTATCTAATTAATGTACCTATTTTTTTCTATAAATAATATAGCCTTTTTTTCTCTGAATAAAGTACCTATTATTTGTTTTATTAAAAGCAATTTTTTTAAATGAACCTATTTTACCTATTTTTCCTCTCCAAATAATGTACCTATACACATTTACAGGTATATTGTAAAATAATTTACATGTGGGTAAATAATGTACCTATATTTAATATAAATTATTGTGTACCTATTTTTAATTATGAAAAATATATGCAATTACAAAGTAACTTTGTTTTTTTTTTTTTTTTTTTTTTTTTTTTTTAATATAACTATATTTTATATGTATATATTTATATATATATTTTTCATAGGTACATTATTGGATATGTAATTTACAGATTTTTTTTTTTGTTTGCAATTTTAGTGGGCGAGATTGTGTGCCTTTAAAACAACTCACCCGAAAATAATGGATGCTGAAGAGTCAATATAGGATTGCCCCTGCATCCGGTCAAAATGTAGTGTATCCGATACGTAATGACCAAGTACCCCACTTCCATCTGCGTATTGAGTACTGTAACTGCACTGGTTAGTCTGAGGAGAACATTTGGCTTGAAATTCGGAGGTGCACATTGAACAGGGGATCAACCGTGCAGTTGATGAGCTGGCAGAATCATAGGAACTGAGCTGAATCTGTAAAGCATGGAACAGTAATGTTGAAAGATTGTTAAGCTTTACCATGCAAGAATTTGAGAATGACATACAGCAAGAAAAAGAAGCAGAAGTTTACGGGAAGCCAAGTAGACCGGGAGCAATCACTGCAGGAATTGCAGGCAACCCACAAGCTTTCACTTCCAGTGTCAATCTGCACGTTGAATTCTTTTGGCGGAGAGCCCAATTTGACTTTGGTATAATAAAGCCTGAATAGGGAAGAATTGAAGATTAGCAGAAATGAAACATGATTCCATATCTGAAGCTACAAAAGATTAGCAGCCATAAGCACACAAATCAAAGTAATAAAGAGTTGGCGGCAAACAGGAGCTTCTCTTCTCCAACAATTTGGTTGAAAAGCGGCGGTGACCCACCTAGGATATTCAAGAAGAGAGACCAGAAGCATGCATGCTCTTTCAGTGGTCCGTGGTGGACCACCATGTGGCCTCTTATCCTTTTTAGCCGAGAATGGCATTCTTCGTTCATTTTTCTTTTTCCTTCATGGCCATGCAAAAGCTTTTAATTTTCACTAAGACGGCAAGCTTGCACGTGCTTTAGGTTTTCCAAAAAGCCAAAAGAGTTATATAATACAAATTTGATTTCCTGTTTTACCCTTGCGCAAACAGGAACACCAAAACACAAACGATATCAATCCACAAGGGTAAAATGGGAAACCAAGCTCTTCCAGCTTCTTGGAAATCCTCAACTACGCTGTAATGATTCCATCCCTTTTCCCAAATAGATTTTTGGGCCCAATATGTTATATTAAAAATACAAAACAAATAAGATCCGTCGTCCCTGTCCCTAATAGAAAAACACCCAGAACGCCCAGAACTTCCAGAAGCAAGCAGCAAAAAGCCAAACTTAGTCAACATAAATTATTAAAAACAAAATTATATATTCCCTACTCTAAAAATCCATCAACATCAACAACCGAAACAGCATTAACAGCATTATCAGCATTGACTATAAAAATTACCCGGCCACCATTGGATCGGAGGTGCCATAGACTGGGAAGTCCACAACGCTGCCGGCCACGTTTTGCAAGACTCGTGCGTGCCTGACTCGGTCACGAGCTCGGAGTTGCTCAATCTGTACTTGGTGCGGATAAACCCGTTCTAAAGGAAGAAGGGTAGACGGCGTCGTCAAGCCACAATGGACAAGACACAGCAGCACGGTGACGGAGGCCAGGATCCGAGCCTTCAAGCCCTGCATTTCCGCAAAATGGTGGTGGCGAGACTCGAGAGAGATCTGGAGGCGATGGTCTGAATTTGGAGACGGAGCTAGTGTTAACCAGTGTTGTCAAAGGAGCGCGCGGCAGGAAAACGCCCGAGGCCGTCTGATGTTTAGTGATCTGCACGTTTTGCGCCGGGAAGGAATGAGGAGGCGTTACAAGGCTTGTCCAGGCGGAGCGAGGCGGAGCAAGGCGAGCCAGATCTGGAAACTTCTGAACCGGAAGAAATTTGAGAAATCTGCAGATGTCTGCAAGGAAGACAAACTCGCGAGGAAGACGACTCCTTGTTTTTTTTTTTTCCTTCAATGAAACGACGTCGTTTTGATTGCACTGTTTTGAAAACAATATTAAAGTGAAACGACGTCGTTTCACTTGGAATGTGTGGATACATGGAAAGTTTGGTTTGGACTTCAAATTTGCGTTATGAAATTAAGTTTCCTAATATTTAATCTATACAATTATGAATTATTGTATTGCGCATGGAGGCCAAGGATATTGTGGGTGGTAAAGAAAACTACTAGAAAAGTGTTGGTGGGACCATATGCTTCTACCATAGATTTCCGAGTTTCTTGGATTACAAGTGCCCTCGGCATTTATGAAGTAGGCTGGTCCGAATTCATTGAAAGTTGGTCGCAGACTCGGAAGAGCATGAAATATATGCCATAGTACAAGTTACTTGACCAAGGAACATACCACATCCTAGTTACAAAACATTTGTCAAATTCGGTTCCTATTGTAGGATTGTCAAACATGCCACCTCCTTTCAATCAAATACTCCTCTTACATATGCTATGCAAACAAGAAGAAACCATCTATTACATTTCTTAGCCAACTGGATCTAAATCAACCTCCGTGTCCATTCCACCGTCAATCATCCCAGCCTCGACTTCAGCATCTGCTTCCATCTGGCCTGCCTCTTGACCTACATCCGTATCAGAGATTTGCTTCTGATGTTCATCGGGGATTGGACTACCACCTTGGGACATGTCACCAGTTGCAACAGTGGCATCAGTGTCCGTTGGTGTCACCGAGGCTTCAAGCACAGCTCTGATTCCTTCACCATCTATCTCATTTGCAGCTGTTGCAATCTTCAGTAAAATTAAAAACAAAATATTATTGTGAAAATTCTTGGAGAACACTTCCACTCTGGATACACACGCATGAATTTACCGGATCCTCAAATTTGAAAACACCTCTCCAAAGGAAAAAAGGAACACAAAATATACATATTTATTTCACACACATACATATTATTTTGTCATTTACATGTTCAACTTTCACAGGAATCAAAGATCTCAAGAAACATAAAATCTAGAAATCCACTACAATTCCAATTATACCTGATTTTCTTCTACTTGATGTGCAGCACCCTTTGTTTCTTCCTTTTTAGCACGTTTAGACTTGTCATTTGGTTTAGCTTGGTATTTAGATCGCTCTTCAGGTGTCAAAAGTTCCAGAGGCACTACTCCTTCAATACCAAATTCAGTAAACTGCAATTACATCAATACAATTCGTGTAAGCTCGGTGAAAAAAATTAATCATATATATTTTAAAATATTTGCATAGTCGGTTGTCATATTAATCATACTCTAGAAAACCCTTCCAAGTCTTGTCTAGCTGAAAATCGAAGACCTTTCCAGCAATAAACCTGCATAATGAAAATTTAGTATAGGATAAAATAAAATCTACTTGTAAGTTGAATGCTAGTTTCAACAATTCTAATAACTTCAAATAATAAAGAAAAACAAAGTAACACACATTTAATCACATGGTGAAGCTGTTGAACAATCCAAACTACTAAATAAAATAGCACTCCATATTAACAATGAACAGTAGTCAAAAGTCCATAACTTTTATCTAAATCCTTTTCAAACGATTTACATATTTATCTTCTGATTCCGGAGGCCGGTTAGTTTTTCAAGATACCTTTTTGCTCATGTCAGTCTTTCTTATTTTTGGGACCTTTCCTATTGGGACGGGCAATAGTATACTAAACTCGCACACACTACACGGATGCTAGAACTCAACCCCAGAACCTTTCCTCAGAGCAATTGGTTCCTTTGCACTCATGTCAGTCTTAGAATAGCAATGAACCTTTACAGAAGACAGTTGATGAATTTTAAAAATACTCTTACCAATGTTTGATAAAGATCTACTATTTTTCTTTCTTTTTAAATATATATATATATATAAATAAATTCAAGATTACTTCAAACTGACAGGCTTAGTAAATCAAATATGTATATATTTTTTTTTGATATTTCAGTCCAAAAGTTTGAAGGACAAACGATTTTTCATTTTATATAAGAAACTGGAATGTTATAAAATGATGTTGTAAATAGATCTTACAAGATCTTTGAGAGATGCCTAGACAAGTTTACTATATGTTTTAAAGGGCCTGTCTCATTATTATTAATTATGAATGGGGAATCTGTTTATTGCTATTAATGTTCTACTGGGAGTCTAAGAGTTTGTCTAGATGTTATTAATGTTGCCTGGGAACTGGTTATTAACGCCGTATGGCAACTCTGAAGGATCCTCCTGGAAAGGTCTAGGGTATTATTAGAGGGATAAGAATTGTGGTCAGAGGACTCAACCTAGAAGAATTTGTATGGAAGTATTATCAGTTTGTGAAAATTCCTAAAGGTTCTCCTTGATTTCACTTTAGAAATCTAAGCTCCAACGATGTTTGGAGTTCTCACCTAGCTGTAATGGTTTGATGCACACCTATTAGCTTGGGTTACTTCATATGTTTGGCTCTATTTACATCATAAAAGAAAGAAAAAAAAAGAGTATAAAACAAGATGGATATCATCAGAAACAGCAAAAACCAAGGACAGCCAATGAGAAAAAAGAAATAAAACAGGCATCAAAGGCCAAACAAGGAAAACCTAAACCACGAGCTTATGAGAAGAAAACAGACCAATCCAGAAGGATCAAGGGGGTAATCCTTCAACTGTTTAGAGATGTAAGCCCAAAGACAAGCAAAATCCGATTCTATATCAAAGTGAAGTCACCTAATTCTCTCTCTGATAAAAGATTCTTTTGTTTCTTTCCACCACACTACCAAAAAGAGGCTGAAACAGCACAATTCCAAGAGATAGTTCAATAGTTAACTCTATCACCCAAATGATACATTTATCACTAACTCCATACTCTAATTCAGCAAAAGACAATAAAAAGATTGTCTCATGTTATCTATCAGAAGTAAGGGTGCCTGGCTCAATGGCAAGCCAAATCTTTTATATTTTGTAACTTTTCCATACAGTTATGATATAAGAAGATTTTTTCTTTGTTGTATTGGGTGGGTTATAGGACAAACAAGCCCCCTTTTTCACATTGTTTCCATTATCATCAGAAACTATAGTCCGAGGATTCAAAAAAGTCATCTTGCAAAAGCATGTCATGAGAAGAAATACAAGTTGCTTGATAGTAATAAGCTCATGTAGAAGCAGTGTAAATCGCTCTTGACAATATACTCCACAAAATTGAATATGATAACTTAAGTCTAAGAACCAAAACTCACTCGGTTATTTTTGTGGTGATATTCAGCTTCTATTCCAGCTGCTGGATCCATCTGTAATTTAAAGAAATGAACTTCATCTTTAATAAAAAGTTACATTGAAAATGAAAACCTCATAATATCAGAAGGGACAAGAGTGAGGGAGAGCACACATACACACACAAACAGCATATTAGTTGGACATTGAGAAGCAAAGAGTGCTTACATCGTCAGCCAGGGGCTTCCAGTAATCAGTGATGGCAGGTGTTCGAACACGTTGAGGATCAGTTAAAGCATTCTGGACATGTCAAAAGTCTCTTGAGAAAAAATAATAGCAAATTTATTCAAATTAATTTTGTAGTTAACATGATTGAAAGGAAAATCTTACTACATAGTTTCATGTTTCTCCCTCACTGACTCGATATGTAATCTTTTTTCTTCTTTATAATAAGAGTTGAACAGAAAAACGTGAAAAATGAACCTCTACTACTGTTTCCAAATTCAATTTATAAGTTTTCTGTGAGTTATCCATTTCTGTCCAATTTGTAGCGAAGAAAACCAAAGAGAGGAAGTATATAGAAACATGCTATCTTTAAAACCACATATTTGGTCCGCCCTAGTTGATTTTTTTCCCATTTCATTTCCAGAATGAATCTGAACTACATTTGCTAAGTTGCAACCTAAAAAATATGTTTCGTGCCACTAACTTTCTGCCTTTATGGTGTTACACATCTGCAACTGTGCAGAGTGCGCTAATTGATAGTATATAATGCCATAATTTACACATCGATTCTTCATTCTTTTACGAGTGTAAATGTACTAATTCAGAAAGGAAATTTGGTCAGAAGAATCAGCAAGTTGCTATAATATATATAACATACATAAGCAGTAGGCTTGCATTACAGATTAACTGAAATCCTGCATACCGGATTTTGATCTGCCCACTTCCACAACTGAGAGAGCTCTTTATTTCCCATTCTCCATCTCGGCCTACTGTTGAATTTAGACAAATAAAGATAAAAAGGGATTAAGTATGTTTCTTAAAAATCTAAATGGACAGTGCAAACTCATTAAATATTTTATATGAAAAGTTACATTACAACAAACAGACCTAATGCTGCAGCAAGGTTGGCGAACAATTCCAAAATTTTAATTTGTAGGCAGTGGTATATGTCAGCGGAAAGACATGGAGCACAACTAATCATTTCATACGTATATTAGTCATTTCTTAAAAGTATGAAAACTCCTAATCGTCTAATTGATACATGCATATTAAGATTTTGTGGTTTCTATAAACTGTTTTGTATCCAATTCATAAAATATCCATGTCTGTTTTCAGAAGTAATGTGCAATAACTTAATTTCATTTCTCTATGAAATCACATAGATGATTTAGTTTATGGAATCCCATAAAATAATCATAGTGTGCTTTGGAGTATAAGGATTGAGAAACATAGATCCTTAAAAGGTTCTTGGCTGAAAAGTAAAAAATATAATCAGAACTCCATCATAATTACATGTAAAAAAAAACCTGCGTAATTTCAATTAAAATACAGTACCTTAATCTAGACTCTAAATTTTTTATTTTTCGTGCTCAGATGATAGCATATTATAAAATAACCAAAATACCCTTCACATTTGTATTACCAACTTTTTTTTATAAGGGTAGGTTTGTCTTTCTCAAACCCAATTCATCTGTCCATTAAAGTTAAATAATCTCCACCACAATGTTTTTATCTACACTAGTTGGAAAGGAGACCTCCTCTCAAAACCACCCTAGCTTTTTCTTTTCTTTTTTTGCCCATTGGTTCTTCTTGTCTCTCTCACTCCAGTACTTGCAGCCCTCCTACTGAAAGTGTCGAGAAGTCTAGACGATTCTGAATACAGAAGTAATTTCCAAGTTCTTGTTCTGTTATGGAAAATTTCATGGAAATATCACTGAAATTTCGGAAGTTGCAATCACAGGAAGAATTATTATTCACCTCATGTTGCATCACCCAAAATTTTGACCCAAAAAGAACTAAAATATCAAATTGATTTGTCAATGCCTTCACCAAAAGTTTAGAATATAGTGATCTAAATAGGAGGCAAATCCGACTCACAAAACATACCCACACCAAAAAGAATTACTATGGCCAACACGAAATAACTAAAGCGGAATTGCCTAACAGGGGTAGAAAACAAAGGATGAGTTGTCTTTCTATCTGCTTATTCTTATTAAGACCTTACACAGTAAGGAAAAAAAAAGGTTCAATTTGTTTCTTGTTAAAGTAAAACACATTAAAAGGCATAATAGGACCCAAATAAACAACCAACAAGTTGCATACCGCTTTTTGGCTCCTTCTTGGACCGCTTTCTTCTCTGCTGGCTGCTTCTCAAATGGTGGACAACCATCACGTTTCCACCATACCTAAGCATATTTAAACACCAATTATGCTTAACAACAGTGATAACATTTTCTAAACAATAGTAACCAAGGCCGGACAGCACTCACCCAATTCTTTTCACGTTCTAATATATGCTCAATTTTATGAAGAAAATTCTCCCCCTTGGGTGGAGTCATTTCAAGCAGCTTTTTCACACGCTCCTCACAAGATTTTATTTCCTCTTTCTGAAATCAACGAGGAAAAGTTGTTTAGGAGACCCCATAATATAGCACAGATATACTCAAGTAGACTTTATCATATCTTACAAAATTTTATGCATCTGACCATGTGCCAACTAAAGTAAATCTTCTTAACCAGAGAGTGAAAGGCATACCACACAAATTCATTCAGTTTTCGTGCTTAAAGTGATGTCCATAGGTAAGGATTCAAGTATTAACGAAGATAAGATAATATTCCTACTGCAACTGAAGTAGGAAACAAGATTGCTTCTAGGCATAGAAGCAAAAGACTGCCAAATCGAATTGCCCAGAGACCATCATACACTTCAAAAGAATACAATGAACTCGTTGAATTGCATGAGTAAATTAGCGAAATCACTCAACTCCAGACAAACTGATGTAGATGCCTGGTATGATATTACATTCATAAAAGTTATGGAAAGAATTCAGTTTTTAGTACTTTAATCCATCCTTGTTTCCAATCCCTAAATTTGGAGACAAAACAAACACAATACACCTAAGGCTTCTCAATTGTCCAACAAATATGTCGTCACAATAACCAATAATCCAATTTTCTACTGACACCTTTTACTATAAACAGAGCTGCCAACATAAAGTTTCTTTGTCAAGTTTAAAGAAGAAAATAAAAAAGGTTACAAAACTTAACAAGACACAATCACAGCACTAACCATGCTATCAGAAGGCAAATCTTTTTCACTCTTTCCAGGGGCCTACAAGCAAATAAGAGTTAGTAAGAACATTTACCATATTAAGTACTATCAATATTTTGGGGTGACAGATCAATTTGAAAGTTGAAAAAGGACATTAGAACTAGCCCAAAGGTCAAGGAGTTATGGTAATATTTCCCAGAATCAATATTAAGACCGTTTCAACTGCTACCTTCAGATAATCAAACAATATGAGGCACTGCACAAGAATATGACGTCGGAAACTCGGATCCTTCAACTGTGCCCACCAGAAAACAGGAAAAATAAAGATCTTAAATCAAAATAATGGTCCACTATAAAAATAAATCTAAGTCAGTCAACACTCCAGCATTACTAACCTCCAAACCCATTAGTTTACTGCTCGTAAGATATTTTATGCTGAAATTTGCCGCCTCCTCCTCCAAACTATTGGCATCTCCCTCTTCATCACTTAATGGTTGAGCTTCAAATGTATTCAGGACAACCTAAACAAGAAATTCAAGAAAATATTATTTGGCTGAGTAATGAAACAGAGAAAGAAAAACTGTTATACCATGAAGATCAAAAAAAGAATATATCAGAAGATAATTATTATACCATTAAACCGGATGTAAATTTCTTCCACTTGGTAGGAGCAAGAGTTAAGGAAGGAGGGTTACAAAAGTGTTCCTGAAAACCCAACCAGACCAGTTTCTCAGCAAATATAATGTGAGATACCACCTATCCAAGTTAACTAAAACAACTCCAGGCTGAAGCTTTCCAAACAGACATTAACATTGAGCCTATTTGAGAGCTCTAATATAACTAGTACTGAAACTTTAATAAAACATCAATATCCTGCTGACAACCAAGATGAAAAAATCGGTACCCGTGGAAATATAATCTAGACGTATGGAAATGTTGATGATGGAAATATAAAAAATCAACAAAAATCAACAAAAATTACAGAAAATTACAGAAAATTGCTTTAAACATAAAAGTTTTGAATGTAACTTTAGGAAATGCCATGTCAATCAATAATACATTAATTAAACATGTAAAATTCATAAGATAGTATATCAATGATAAACTTATGGCGCAAGGCAAAAACAATTTTCACTGACTCGTATGACCTTAAAACCAATCAATATAAAAAAATCATCACCTTAGCTCTCTCTCTCTCTCTCTCTCTCTCTCTCTCTCTCTCTCTCTCTCTCTCTCTCTAAATTAAACCCATTTCTTACAACCGACAATGTATTTGCTTCATTGTACGAACTTTTTTTTCGTAAACTATATGAACACTACTTAGTGAGAGTATGCATAAGCATGGACATTTGGAGCCATTGGATTGCTAAGAGTTTAAATAAGAACAACGCATCTAGCAATCCAACAACTCTGACATCCATGCTTATGCATGCTCACTTTTTTAATGCTCATAAGAGAATTTGTCCAATAAATAGGCAATTCTGGAAAACTCAAAAATAAAAATAAAAAGGAAATGAAACAGAAAAAGAAAAAAATTTACCTAGTTAGCTTAGAATTCGGGCAAAATGATAATACATAATCTTATAAGTGAAATGCCAAGCCCATCAAAACTGAGAACCTTGTATGTAATCTCTCTCTCTATTCTTAATCTAATTTTATCGAACACAGATTGGCATAAATAGTGGTCTAATATTCTGATGCACAGTTTCATGAACGCTAAACTAAAACAAGTTTTAAAATTATTTACATTTCCATGTGAAAAGTCAGTAACAATTGAAAGAATCATTGAAATTTTTTTGCCCCACATAACATAATTGTTAGCAATAGAAAATATTATATTAGTAATTCGGTGATGCCAAAAGTATAGGGATGCTAATCTTTTTGTCTTTTTATGACAGGAAACAAAAATTCTGTCAATAAAGCAAACAGAAAATACAAATTAAGGAGAGTACAGTGATGGAAAATTTTATTAATGGGGACCATAATAAAGAGGACTATACAGGATACGACAAGACTTGATATGGGGATATTGAAAATCTCCAAAACCTAGGATAAAGTAATAATAATATAATTAAACCAAATCTCCAACACCATATCCTAATCTTTGAACATGGGGAATGGGGATTGTTTCAACCAGGCAATTCACAAAAGAATTTATAGGCAAACTAGAGAGGTTTCTTTAGCATAATGATATCTGTTTACAAGAAGAATTACACAAACAAAATCTGAGTATTGAGTTAAATGACTTTGAAAACCATATAACAATAGCATTATATATGGACACTCTCTAAGTTCAAAACTTAAATCAAAATGGAGAGGAAAGCATAATTCTAACCCCTAGGCCCTTTTTTATGTCATAATTTATCCTTCCAAGTGACCAAGTTTACCTGTAAACTCCAAAATGTCTTGTAGAAGTTGAAATCGATGGAAATTCCTGAAAAACGTAAAACATTAAAATATATCCTTAAGATACCTACATTCACAAGAAATGCTATATAAACTATATACAATCATATTATATATATGTAGACGTCAAAGTTAAGATATCAAGCAACTGCCTAGCAAGGATATACCATCAGGGGGGTCTTTCTCATATTTTGTCTCGTTTGATGTGTTAAAAACTCCTTTTATATTCACAGCTGCGAGCGTTAATCAGAAGAGCAACAAAATTACTTAAAAGAACAAGTGAACAGCAGGGTTCAGAGAAATTAAACTAAAAGTGAAGACAACGGTTGAAGACAAGCAGGTACCTGAACGCTCAGATAATGGGAAAAAATGAGCCAAAAACATTAGAATTCGTCCACAAAATACCACATCATTTGCCTGTAAGTCAAGTTCAAAGACATTAGTACGAAACAAGACTACAACAATAAGTTTTGCAAGTGAAATTTTATTATCAAAGTAGTTACAGTTTACTTTTATCAAATAGTGAACAATAAGATGTGTAGCTAAAACACTTATTTAAAATCATTATTATTTCAAAAATTAAAACAAAAAACAAAAACATCAGCATGAGTTTACACCACATTTTTCAATTTACAGTCTTCCCATTTACAGACATAATTCTCAGACCAGAACCATATTCTCACCATATTTCATAAAAATATTTGCTTGCATAACTGAACGCTAGTTATGCTGTTCCTTCAGTGTTTTCTAGAAGAGTTTCTCCATAAAAAGTAAGATTCTTTGGGCACGAATACCCTTTACATTTATCACACCATGTAATCTATTAAATTAGTGTCTAACAAAGGCAGCTTTTCGCTCCACAAACAGTGCCGCATAAAGTAAATGCCAAAAATAGCAATCCTCATTTATGAACTAAAAACTGAAATCTGAAAAATAGAGCAGAGCAGCAAGAATAATGAATGCAACTTCTAAATTTGGTAAGGTTTCAATATTAATTCAAGGTCAATCACAATGCACCATCCTGAAGTTTACAATGTCAAATATGCGCATACCATCACAAGTTTTGAGTATAATACAGATCAAACTGAGCACCAGTTAGTTAATTATAAACATTACAAAAAAGATGTGGCTTTTGAACGGCATGGATATACAATTTACTGTTTGAAAAGCAAACAAAAATCCCAATATAGGGAAAATTTTACAAAATGAAAGTAGACTGTAATCCAGTGATGACTACTATGATTAGTAACACCACCTTTGACAGGCGACGAAGAAGTTGATTGCATGTTCTCAACATCACAAGTTTTCCTCGAGCAAAAAGCTCTGGCTGCATGTGAGGATCCATATAGATTAAAATAGATTGCAAATAGAGATAATCAAAAACTTTAAAAAATGAAAAACAAAAAAAAACAAAAAAAAAAAAAAAAAATAAATCTTTTGACATTTTAAATACACAAACCTTTCCTAATATATCTTGTTTACTCTCTATATAACCAAAAACGTCTTTGCAGTTTCTCATAGTAGACATTTCTGTTAAGTCTTCCAACAGCTGAAATATCATGCCGCCTTCAATGTGTTCGTTCTCACAAAGATACAACACAATATCTGGTGCACAAAAAGATAACAGAACTTTAAGAGAGAGAGTGATGTAGGCTATAAGACTCATTAATTTTCTTCTTGATCAAAACAATTTTTACAAGCATTTAGCCATTGAATAGCTCTTATAATCCAAATAGCTAATCTACAGGCTTACTGTTCTATTAGACGATATACAGTTCAACATTTGAAAATCGAAAGTCATACAGAATTTTGTCAAAAATAATTTTAGGTGCGATCTAAATGTCAAAAGGTAAACCCCAAAAATTAACAGCGCAAATAAAAATTCTTATATAGAAACAACATAAATGTAGTTTTTAGATCTTTATATCACTGATTCACAAGTTTTGGCTTATCAGAACCGTACTTTTACAAAAAGGTTCCAAATATTACAGAAATTGAATACACGATTCTTTGAAAAAGGAAGTCAACAGCATTTGATACAACCAACTAAGTGCTTAATAAAAGTTTAACAAGGATATGTACAGACCAAGAAGACGTGGAATATGTCCTTGGGTAGTTTCTCCATCATCAATTGATTGACCATACTGCATTATCTGCTCCCCAGACTGTACTGCAGAAGACTGTGAAAATATCAAGTTACCAAGCATAAAACACAACTTCTATGTTGATGTCTTAAATGTAAGGAGGGTTCAGGTTGATGGGGAGATCTAATATTTATAATCTTCAAAACAAAAGTAACAAAATTTGCCACATCAACTGCAGAATGCTCTACTTCACAAAGCCAAGTTGAAATATCCATCATTACAAATTTCCATATTCAAATTCGAATCATATTCCTGTGATGAAGGGGTGTCTAATAAAACACTAAGCCCAAATGCTCATGAATCCTGTTAGATCAGCCCATGGGTTATCAGAAGTCCACCTTACATTTGTCATGCTTCTTTTGCTTCGTTAATAGTCATATGCATATTATTACTTTAACCAATCCCTAGTTACAAGTCATTTAAAAGTTGAGTGGTTCATATGCCATTCTAATGATCTTGGATGGCCAGATTTAATAAAAACATATGCAAAAAAAGGAAAGAGAGTGATGCAACACATTACGGGCGAAAACAGAAAAAACACAAAAAGCACAACTGCCCTGGATCCTACCAAGAATAGCCAAAACAAAGGACTCTGTATGTAATCATGGTGATTGCACATAATAAAGATTTTTTTTTTTAAATAAAGGAAATCTGGACAAACCGCTCTGTCAAATTTTTTAATTACCAATCAACCATTTTTATAGGTTTAAAAAGTCAGGCACCAAGAATACTCGGGCAAAAAGAAAACTAATAAAAACAAATCTAATATGTCAAAGTGATACTTGAGCCATGTTTGGTGGTACAAAAAAAATTAAGGATAGAAAACAGATGGCTGAGATGAGGCATATAATTGAAGATTGCTGCAGGTTGTGCAACAATTCTGGGAATGTGGAAGCCCGTGAGGATTCAGGGAAAGTTCCATGAACCCTGAAATATACTAAAAGGTGACTTTGAGCATCACCATCAGCGCTCAACAGAGTAATCAAATTATAATACCCAGCCAATCAAGATGAACTTAACACAAAGAAATATCCCTAAAATATTTTGGCAATAAAGCCTACAAAATGCTCAAATTCTAGTTCTTTCTATTTAAAGTCCATTTCCTCGACCTATCTGCAAAGACTACCCGGTCTTCCGACCAATCAATCCAGAGGTATGACAACATTATGCATCTCCAAAGAGTAGGTACGTTCCTATTGTTAGGATTTTGGCTCGTCAAATATGTCCTAGTTGGTTTAGGATTGTTTTAAGAAAATTAGAGGTATACCAATTCTTGTCCTAGAGGGATTAGGAAAGAATTTCAGTTTTCCTTATTCAATTTAGGTTTGGATTTCTATAAGTCTATTAGGATTTGGATAAGTGTAATTTCCTAATCCACTTAGGAATAGGAATTCAATCAGCCTTGGGACATGTAAGCCAACTCTATATCTATAAATAGGGTGCGGCAAGGCTTATTTTACAGCAAGGAAAAACAGCCAGAGACAGCCAAGAGTTTTGAGATTAGTTCCAAGGTTGCAAAAGTTCTATAATCTCTATTATTAATCAAAGGAGAGAAATCACAACTGGACGTAGGCAAAAGTTCTGCCGAACCAGTATAATTCTTGTGTGTTTCTAAGTTTTTCTAATATTTGCTAGTTTAGTCTATTGCCGTTGGTTACATTAAAGAACAAGATCTAGAAGGCGGGTTATTGAACACCTATCAGCCCTAAAACCCAAATAATCCACCAACCAGACACAATTCCAAACCCTAGCAGCATCCTGACCCAAAATTTTTTTTGGTCAAAACCCAAAGTTGTGAAGTAAAAAGGACAATGTAGAAACACAGGATCAACACTATTTGCTTCTTGTTTGGACAGACTACACCACTGTGAAGTCAATAAGCAAAGGGTCTTCTTTTTTGAGCACATCACAAGCATTAATTTACCCATGGACCACAAACCGCGCTAAAATATGCAGAATAAAGTAGAAATACAGTAGTCTACAAGTACAATCAAACAATCAAAGCATCCTGTGAACAAGTACCAGCAAGAGAAACATACCACCAGTTCCTGAAGCAATGTCCGGAGGATATTTTCTAACAATTGATTCTCATCTTGGACTAACTTTGTCTGTTTCTGTCATGAAGAAATCAGTTGGCCTAATTAGAATTAACCAAACATCGACATCCAAAAGGCTAAAGTTTCATATGTTTGACTTGTTGTTAGATGTATCACGATAATTGTACATGTCATCATGTGCAATCAGGATGTATGTGAAGAAAGCAATGCAATGATGACTACAGCCCACCAAGGATCAAGCATTGAATCAAGTGAAACACTAATCGGTAAATTAGCAATTGGAGTTATAGGACAAAGGTAACAAAACATGTGTATCCAAATGTAGCCAGAGACTGAAATCATACTTGTGTTTCAGTTTTCAGGCACAAAACCATAAATCACTATACATGCATTTACACGAAGATTCGACTTATCAAAATCTTTTTTATTGGGTACCACATAATATTGTTAAAACTTAACCCTGAACATGAGGGATCTAATGGGTTACCTGAGGTTTTATAACTTGTTGAACTGTCTGTAGAGCAAAACTTTCTGGTGGGCCAGGTTGCAATATGGCCCTCCTGAACACTTCCTGAGAAAAAAAACAGAAAGAACAACTTAATCATATCTAACACAGAAGACAAAATAACAATAACACTTATAATTATGAAGAAAAAGAAGCTAACCATGTTGAAGACCTCAACCAAACAGCGAGTGTGAAGCCAATGACAAACAAAGCCTTACCAAAAGCTCAATCACAATGAACTGAAACTTTCTCTGCAGCAGAAAGAAATAAAAATAAAAAACATCGTCAAAAATTTTGTTTGAACCAACAGTGATATTTGGAACTGTATGCTAGCATTTAAAAAGCAGTTGCTTATATTTTCTACATCAATAACAAAAGAAATTGACCTACTTTCAAATGCTAGGTTTTGAAAGGCGTTGCCTAGGCGCGTCGATGCGAGGCGGCAAAAATTCAGCTCAGGGGTCCCGTTGTTTAGCTGTTTGCAAACTTAATGTTCGCGCTGCCGGCGAGGCGTACGGAGGCGCCGGTTTCTGGTTGTGTGAGGCGCAGCTGCACGAGGAGAAGAGAGCACGCGTGTTTATTTCCGTTTAGGTTTTCGCTATGGGACGACGTCGTATCATCTTTGGGCTTCATATTACATTTAAGCTGGAACGCACGTTAGCAAGCCCTTTTCTTCTCATCTATTCAGGCAAACAACTCGTTTGGGAGTGCTTCTTCTTGAAGTGTTTATGCTAGTACCGCTTATGTCAGTAGCGTTTCTACAAAGAAGTAGTTTGTCGTTTGGATGTCACATTTAAAGGTGTTTTACACTATATAAAAACACTTTTGATATTTTGTTGAGTGTTTGGCTAACACAGTAAAAGCGCTTTTAAAAGTACTTAAAAAAATGTAAAGAATCTCAAAATATTATAATAAATATAAAAAATAGGGAAAAAAAAAAGGAAGGGTATTTTGGCATTTTAAAAATTAAATATGGGTATTTTCGGCATTTTAAAAGTTTCATTAAAGAGAGCCAAGTGCTTCCCTTGTTTTTTATCCTGCAGCGCTTTTAAGAAGAAGCACCTCTCACGTGCTTCTTCCAAAACCACTCCAAGTGCTTTTGGATCTCACCCAAAGCGCTTTTGCAATTTTTGCCAAACACCATTTTTTAAAGACAGAAGCGCTTTCACCCATTTAGAAACGTTTTTAGCTGATCCAAAAGCACTCCCAAACGAGCCATGTGGAAGAGGGGATTTATGAAATCGAGAGAACGGTAAAATGAGAACATCATATGAGAATCTATCACAGTCATCCAAAGTCACCTGAGTAGCTGAAGAGAAAAAACAAGCTCATAATATAAACAGGTACACTGCATTTTCTCTTTAGCTCACGTGCCTTGCCGCACCTTTTCCAATTCCCCCACCTTTGAATTCAAATTTTTTTTCAGACTCCATTTTGTTCATCTTAAAAAGATTCTCCTCCCAATATAATCTCCTATTTTCTTTGGTCAGAATCAATACGTTTCTCTCGAATTCCCTCTCTTTCTCTCTTTGATATTAAGGTTTGCTTTTTCTATTACATTCACTTAGGGGCCGTTCGATAACATTTTCAAGGCCCCGTTTTCATTTTCTACCAAAAACTCTTTTGGTATGTTGTTTTCATTTTCAATGGAATTGTGTTTTTATTTTCTACTTAATGGTATTGGTCTGCTTTTCCTCCTTTCCTTTTTTTTTTTTTTTTTTTTTTTTTTTTTTTGGTCAATTTTTTTTTTTCATTTTTTGTACTTTTTTTTTTTCAATTTTCATTTTGTTTTCGTTCTTTTTTTTCTTCATTATTTTATTTTGTTACGTTAGTGTATATTTAATTTTATGATAAAATTATCATATATTATTCAAATTTATATTTAGGAATAACTACACTTTAGTCCCTGGAAGTTTAGTATCAGTATTGAAATAGGCCCCAAGGTTTCAAGTAAATCAATTTCATACCCGACATTTCAAAGTATTACCAATTTACACCCATCGTTACATTGGACTGTCAAAGTCAGACATTAAATGCTGACGTGGCAGTCGTGGGACCCACATCATAACCAAAAAAAAAAAAAAAAAAAAAAAAACAAACAAAAAAAAACTGGGCACAACGGTTCACAAGGCATCGCTCCAATAACCCAAGGCTTGGACAACGAAATCGAACTAACTACTCGGTCTTGTTTTGGAGAGATTTTGATAAATAAATAAATAAATAAAAAAAGAGAAATGAAAAAAGTGGAGAGGAAACTCGTGAAGAAGATCCGATTGGTTGCCTGGAATGGATGAAAAGGTGTTGATATGTTTGTGTGGCAAGGCTGCTACAATTTGAACCTCTTGGATAGATTCGAATCCTGGGAGGCGATTTTCCATGTGTGCAGCAAAGGTACGTGAGACTAAGAAGGGTTTTCAAGGTTGTTAGTTCTGGGCACGGTTTGATTTGGCCATGTGTGAACTATCAAAGGCAGTGATTCCTGGGCTTCTAAAGTCGTGGAATAAGCTAGACAAATCAGTAGCAAAGGCAAGACAAAGAGAAAAGGTCGTTTGGGTGTTGTTGGTGGCTTTGTGGGTTCTATTTGCAAGCTTTATTTTGAGAGGGATGTATGGATCTGGAGTGAACAAAAAGAGGAGCTTCGAATTAGCTTCTGCCATTAAATGAATTGTTTGTGCGTTGTTTGTGTGATTCTGTAAGGGTTGGGTTGTTAGTGGCATTTTGTAATGGTTTAATTGTTATGTAAGGGTTAAGGGTTATGAGTAAGGGTTAAGGGTTAAGGGTTTAATTGCTGACTTTTTATAACTTGATGAAGTGAATGGAATGACAAAATTTGCAGAGAATTTCATCTAAATGAAGTGAATGGTCATCATAAAGAGTATGCAAATGAAGTGAATGGCATTCTAAATCTATGTGCTAGTGAAATTATGCAAAGGAATGCCAAAAACAATGTAAAGGGAAGTTAGAAAATGGATGCACCTGGAAAAATCAAGTGAATGACCAAAATAATGAAGTGAAGTGCCAAAACAATCAAGTGAATTGGCAAAATAATCGATTGAAGTGCCAACCCAAAAACTTCAAAAATTCTGCATTCAAAATGGGCTCAAAATAGCCAAATAATAACATTGACAATTACATATTTGATGTCCTTTCAAATTCATTCCAAAATGGCAGTTTTCAGTGGATGTATTTGCATTCACAGTGGTTGACGCTTATGTGAATGCCATTACATCCATAAAAAAAAGTCAGTAATTAAGTTATACATAACCAATTTATCAAAAACAAAAACCTCCTAATCACAAACTGTCAGTCTAACAAAAAAGAGTGAGTCATCAAATTCCTTTTTCAGTCAACTTCAATTTACAACATTTGATCCTATAGCTGAAACAGAAGTTGATGCATATGGACATGAAGTTGAGACTGGTTGTGCTTCAGAAGTGGCATGTCCTTTCTTACTTGGTTTTGGCTGCACAATGTTTAGGATGTTAACATTTTATTTGGAATTTGAAGAAAATTGATAATAAACATCATAAAGAGAAGTTAGTTACCAGAGGTTTCCCTTTTTGCACATGCCTTAGAGGTGTAGGGGTCTTTTATTCCAGCAGCCTAACAAATGGGCTTGGGCTGCCGTAAAGAAGAAACGAGTAAAGTTGCCCCTTGTATTATGAGTTCGAGGACCAAGCTCCAAAAGAGCTTTGAAAAGTTTGTGAGAACCTTAGAAAACACCCTAGATTCCTTTCACCAGTAAGCCAAATGAATGTGACATATTAATAATATGGCTTGCTTAAGGAGCTTGCGGCATGGAAGCTAAGCCTTCGCGAGTTTAGCAATTAAGAGAAACAGCTTGAATTTCTTACATAAACAAAGGCTCAGAGTATGGGAGAGAGTAAACTGGGGAGATTTTGACTAAAGAAGAGGGAAAGAGATGGGAATGGATAATGGGGTGTCTTGAGTGAATTTCCAGTTGCTTGACAAAGCTTGGTCGCACTCTGGATGATGATTTTGCTAGGTAGAAGAAGCCTCCTTTTATAGGCACTTTGACCTCTTAATCTTATCAGAACTCTTTCTTGCTTTTCCTTAACTTTCTTCCATTCACTCTTATTTGGTGAAATTTCCCTAACCAGAGCACATAGGTAATAAGTCCTTTGGGATTCCAAGATTTTTACACAGCTGGACCTCTCCATGTGGGTGAGGAGCCACTCGCTTTTCTTCTTGGTTTTCCTATTAAAGCTCACAGAGGAAAGGAGAATGGATAGAGCATTTGCCTAATGGGTATTCCTCATACACGTATGAATTTCCTTTGGTTTTTGCAATGGCTTCACGTTGACTCTGTTATGAAGCTTTAACAAGGGCTTAACACAATGCTAGATATTTTATTAGATACTGAGCTAGGCTTTTCCTAAGGCATTGGGTCATTGGCCTCTTATTTTCAGTAGTCAGCTAAGCCTTCTATGGTTTCGTCAAGCTGCTAGAAGTGGCTTATTTGCTCTCTTTTTTCTTTTTTTACGAGGTGTTGAATGCCTTAGTTGATATGAGGTTTTCCTAAATGTTGCAAACCACTACATATTTTTCTAAGTCGTTGGGTCACGTGTTTCTCTCTCTCTCTCTATTGCTTACCCATGTGCTTGGACCCAATAAATGGGCTTGAGTTTTGGCGCTCCCAAGTAGCCCAAAACTTCCATTCCTTGAACCCTTAATGGCCCCCATGAGTGCTCGTACCCATCCATACCACAACCTTCTCTGCAAGCCCCGGATATTTACGTGGCTTGGGCCCACTTAAGCTTGTAGCGTGGTTTGACATTAGAATAGCGGTCCTTTAGCTTAGCATAGCCTGTTTATTTAGCATGTTCATGCTCGAGTTTTATTATGCCATAATAAGTTATGACCGGGCCAGATAGCATTTAACAGGTCAGTGAGCGTGTGTTTACAGAGTTGGGACATTTTCCGAGCTCGTTTTGACCCTTTTGCATGGTGGGTTTCCATGTTTGCTTGGCATAGTGTGTGGCCCTCAACTTGTACGGTTGTGTCCGACAAACTCTCACATGTCCCAGTTGGGCTCCCCTCGTAGTTAAATATTTATGCCGGGCTAGAAATAAGCCTGGACCTAGCCTTGGATTTTTTGGGTCTCAACAAGAGGCTTTGATCTTTTCTTTATGGTGCTTAGACCAACTGAAGTGGCTGCTTGAGATGGATCAATAATAGTCTACAACATAAAAATGCTTGTCAGTTAGCAACAAAAGCTTAGGGTTAGTAAGGGATAGAATTGAACAAGATTGAGTTGCTATACCTGGGTATTTTCAGTACCCCTCTTCCTCTTAGTTGCAGGTTTGGCTTTTGAGGGAAGATTCCTGTGGCAAGTCCTCCTATTGTGCCCCTTTTTACCACATTGTCCAAATTTGAGAGAGTAATGTGTGTTGGGAATGGGAGACAATGCAGTTTCAGCTTGGTTGCTTGACTCTCTCATATTCATTTTACCCTTGTGCTCTCCATCTTCTTTCTTTCTACATGTCTTGAAGTAAATTGTTGTCAAATAGCAGTCATCCACAAAATCCATGACATTAAGACCCCCTTTATAATTTATGACTGCAATAGCATGAACACAAGACCATCCCTGCAAATCCCATGCTCTACAAGAACAACTCCTCAATTCCAAGTCCATAATATATTATGCATGGCCATCAGTTGACACTTGGAATTTACCTCCACCTGACCACATTGCCACACAAGCACCTACCTTAGCTTTATTTCCCTCCACCTTCTTAAATATTCTTGGGCAGATAGGCTTGTTCCATTTCAGCATTTTTTACCTTTTTCCTTGTATTCTCCTCATCAGCTTACATCTAATATAATCAAATTGGTCAATCCTTACATTCCAATATGGTAGCATTGAAAAACTCACACAGATTATTCAACAACGTTTCACACTTCAAATGAGTGTTGAAGTGTGATTTTGACCAATGCCTTGGAAGTTTATCTGGAGTGGTTAGCCATTCATATGCATTCTTGGACAGTTTTTTCAGGTCTTATATGGCCCTTGTAAAGTGGGGGACAATGGTTACATATAATGCTTCCTAAAACATATCTCTCAGGCTTTTTGATTTGAACAATATCCTATAGTTAGTAAAAAGGTGTCTTGCACAGAACCTATGGTCACAATTAGGGACCACTTGCTCAAAAGTAGGCAGTAAACCTTTTTCTTTGTTGGATATAAAGGTGAAGCCAAATTGATTAACAATTTCACAATCCTTAACCAATAGCTCCAGAAACCAAATCTAAGAATCCTTGCACTCTGATTCCACAACTGCATACACAATTCCCCAGGTTTCATTGTTGGTGTTTATACCTACAGCAATTAACAGTGGCTCTGCATAAACACTCTTCAAAAAGCACCTATCTACACCTATATTGGGTCTACACCCAGCTTTGAACTCTTCCTTAGCAACTCCTAAACAAACATACAACCTTTGAAATTGTGGTTGCCCCAACTGTTGTTGGAAATCAGACTAAACCAATAATCCAAAATTCTTGAATATTGTTCATTGAAAGTGCCCTCAATCAACTTTAGTGCCTTATCTTTTGCCCTATACACTTTTTCTCTTGACACCCTTGTATTATAATCATTCTCAACAGTCTCCTTGAATGACCAGACTGGCCACTGGAGATTGGACTTCAATGTCTCAACATATTTCTTGCTTATCCATGTTGACTTCACAGTAAGGTTCTCTCATAACTGTGTACATGTATGCTCACCTACATATGTCTTCACTTGCAATGTGTTCTCATGTTGACTTTTTGAAGCATATATCATCCACCCACAATTTGGGGGCCCCACAAACTGCCTTCAGCTTCAAAGCTTCAGTCCTAATAAAAACAACATCCCTATTTTGCAAGATGGAGTATTCTCTGATAGCTGCCCTAAACACCTTATAATCAGTAAACAACATGCCAATCTCAAACTTTGGATCTGCCATGTTAGTTGTAGCATTGAACTCTGGCTAATTTTTATCAGCTTCATCTTCAAAATTATACTTGCACTCAGAATCTTCATAATCTAATTCAACATCTGTAGGCCAATCAGTAGTAGCCTCATTCCCAGTTTCTTTAACGTCTGTCCATTTAGTTTGGTCATCCACCCATTCATAAAAAAAAAAAAAAAAAAAAAAAAAACATCATTATCTTCACTTAAAGTTCTTGGAAATCATATAATCTGAGTCCTCACTATCAACAGAATCATCATCTTCATCTTCAAAGTCTACAGCATTTGCATATCTTCTTCTACTTCTCAACTTCATGAAATAGCTTTTGGACTCAGTCCTAATGCCCTTAACCCTTCCTTCCACATCTTCTTTGTCTTTCTAGTGAACAATCTTTGTCCTCCTCAAACTGCCGCATCTTTTTTTACCAAAAGCACACTTGACCGTATGTGACATGTCATCCGTCACTTTATCCTTGCCTTTGCCTTTAACAGAATAACCCTTATTAGTCTTTTCTTGGCCCTTGTCAAAGTTCTCCTCATTATTCACAGTTGCCTTTTCTTTGCCTTGTTTAGAAGCTTGATCTGTCAACCCATCTGAGTCAACCCTTCTTCATTCAACTCTTTGCCTTGTCCACCGGCTTCTTGATTCAACCCTTCTTCATTTAACTCTTCATTCAACTCTTCTATTACAACACTTGTTTTTTTTGAAATAAAAAAAAACCTTTTCCACATGAGATACTCCCCGACCCACTGGAACAATGGCACCATAATTGTCATCAAGCTCTTCAATCGCTACCCTAGTGTTGGTCCCAAAATCATCATCCAAATTTATAAATATGTTTGAAACCACTTGACTGTAAAACTGCTCTTGACTGCATGCCAAGATATGTTCTAGGACTATATTTATCAACCTAGTGTCTTGTACAAATACTAGCATGTCTAAGACATCTGCATCCTCACTCAGCTTAACTAGGCCACCATCAAAATGATCACCTATAATACTGTACTAATAGTTAATCATACCTTCGTACCCTAACTCCTTTACCATGGCATCTATCTCAGTCATTGACATTCTATCCTTATCACAATAATTGAACCAATCAGCAGACCCATTCACATAATAGTTACCTCTTATTTCACAATTATGGTACATTTCAATAGAAAATTCATCCTCATCCCCTGCATGTCAAAAGCCACACATCAATTTTACCAAACAAAAATACATTCAAAGATGTTTACAAATACACAAATACAAATACAAAAAAGACACATATACATACACACATACAAAATATGACCACAAATAAATACAAATACAAAAAGACACATACACATACAAATTTTCTATGTCAGTACACACGTACACAAAAGGTAAGATTCCCAGTGATTGTAGCACCACATACAAAAGTCAAAGTTTACTTCCGCATACCACCTACCAATCACATCATTCCATCTAGCAATTAAATGGACAGTGAAACCGACACCTAACTCAAAACTCACAATCCATTATTAAAGGCAAACTTTCCAACACGAAAGTTTCACCCGACACCAAACTCAAAACTCAGACTCTCTATTTGATAGTTCCACTTGAAAAGTTATGATACTTAAAATTATGATATTTTTGCTTATTTCATTGTTTGTAATCATTTTAGCTTTAAAATATCATAATTTTAAATATATATTTTTTTGGTTAGAAATAAGCAAAAATATATATTATTAGAAAAATTAGGTATTAGACATAACTATTTTTACTAATTAGTATTTGAGACAAACAACATTTCTGTTTGGGTTTTAATACCTAGGAATGAAATTTTGTTTTGGATTTGGCCAAAGAGGAGGCCTAGATTCGTTGGTCCACCTTATATTAATCACTAAAAAGACAATTATACCTTCTTCTTTTTTAAACATTCATTGGTCTCCCTTTTTTATCAGATTAGATCTCTCTCTCTCTCTCTCTCTCTCTCTCTCTCTCCCCGCAGCAACGACGACCACAGCCTTCGCCTGCGATGGAATTCTCAAGCTGCTCATCCCTTCAGCCTTCACCGACAACTCCAAGGTCTTCTAGCTCAAGATGAAGAGCAATTACAATCGCTATCTTGTTGAGTTCAAGATCGGAGTGTTTCTATGAGGATTTGAGGAGGAGATCCATCAGGTAATTGTTGAAAACCAATTATTTAAGCCTAGTGAGCGCATTGCCCTTGGCGCCTCTGGTGGGAAAGGTAAACTAACCAAGCTATGCTTGTAATATTAGTTAATGTCATATTAGATTGTAAAAGTTATGTGGACCTCAGCTTTTCTTCTGATAATTGCTTTTTATGTTATTTAAAACTGTCAGATTCCACGATCTTTGCTTATGTGTTATCGAAATTGAATAGGCGGCACAATTACGGCCTAGATCTATTTCTGTTGTCAGTGGATGAGGGCATTACTGGCTACGGGGATGATTCTCTTCAAACCATCAAAAGAAATGAAATCCAGGTGAAGTGAATATCAATTCGGAGTTGCTAGTCATATGTAATGCTTATGTTTTTTTTTCATATATATATATATATATATATTCCGTTAATCAACTCTTATTCAAAATTTCTACTTTCAATATGGTTTGCCGCTAAAAATAGTCTCGTACAAGGATTTGTGTGGGTGGACCATGAATGAAATAGTTAAGATGATCGGTCTCAAGAATAATTGCACCTTCTGTGGTGTTTTTCATCGTCAAGTATTTGCTTTTATTGGAAATTAACTGCTTGTGTATTTTTTAGAAATCTTGTATGCATGTATTTAGACATAACTTCAGCATTCATATGTTTTGACAACGTCAAAGTTGTGTGGTTACTCCACAAAAACTTATGCTACTTATTATTTAGTTATGAACAAGCAATTAAAGCTACTAAAACTATTCACACAACCTTGTTTTCCATAACATCTATAATTTATAAATTCTAGCATAGATTAGCTTTCTATCTCATTAAGCATGCAAGGCATGGACAACATTTATTGGTTGTAAGAGATGATATGAAGTATTCCACTTAATGGATTTATTTTGTAGATTGAGTAGATGCACTTCAATTGTCACTAGTGAAGATGGGCCGGTTCCAAGATGCAAACCTTTTAAATACACCTATGAGAAAGAGATTGTTATATATCTTTACTACTGAAATACTCAATACTGATTTCTTTCTTTGATCACTGTTATTCATCTTAATAATGAGTTGGAATTAGTTGTGAAGCCTTAACTAGATTTGCACGTATGCATATTTCAAGAGGCCGGACTACTTCTCCATCAAATGTAATTTAGTTTAACTCTATGCTCTTTAAGATAATTTCGCTTAAGTCTTGCTCTGTTATTTTCACTCCTCCCAACCACCATTGCCACTATATTCTATGTTTTCGTGCTTTCAGGGTTAGATCTCATAAGCCATTGTTGTTAAAATTGCAGGCATTTATTCACCCAAAGCTTATCGTGGTTTTGCTCGCGAGTTCATCAAGGATTTGGAAAGAATCAAGTTGGTTAGCTTGTTGTGAGTCCGTTTAGGCAATGTTTCACTTGTTGGCATTGTAGTTTTCACAAAATTTAATCATGCAGGAGGTATATGAACAACAGAAAGAGTTTATTTTACTTGGAGAAATGGTTGTTCTTGCAACTCTTGCTTTTGATCTTAATGTAAACCATCCATATAAACCGCTGGTTGAGGCAATAAAGAAATTCAAAGTAACTCAAAATGCCCTTGCTGAAGTTGCAATACCGTTTAAGCTTTAGTTCAGTGAAATTTTATACAGATTTTGCATTGTAGTTTTGCACAAACTACATTGCAGTTTTGGAAACTGAGTTGCAGTTTTGGTAAGTACAATTGAATTTTTGCTCTTTCCTTAGCCTTCAACCTCACCAATTTAAAGAGTAGAGGCTACCCAGATGAGGAATTGGTTGGGTAAGAGAAGAGTAGAACTACCCAAGAGCAAGGGAACTCAAAATTGGACTTTCGAAACTGCATTGCAGTTTTCATTTCATTACAATTGAATTTTTGCTCTTTCCTTGGCCTTCAACCTCACCAATTTGAAGAGTATAGGCTACCCATATGAGGAATTGGGTGGGCAAGAGAAGAGTAGAACTATCCAAGAGCAAGGGAACTCAAAATTGGACTTTCGGAAACTGCATTGCAATTTTCATTTAATTACAATTGGAGTTTTGCTCTTTCCTTGGCCTTCAACCTCACCAATTTGAAGAGTAGAGGCTACCTAGATGAGAAATTGGTTGGGCAAGAGAAGAGTATATATCAACCTTTTATTTGCAATTCTTGTATGAATACGTGTTGAAATGAATTTTTCTTTTTAACCTTTGATTGTTTATATAAATATTGTATAACTGAATAAATATTCAAAAATCAAGTTTGGTGTAGTGGTTTGTAAGCAAGTCTTTCTCCTTTGAGGGTTGTTGAGGCCCAAAAAATCCACGGTTCGGCCCAATGCGATACCTTATTAAGAAGAAACTCGATTTGGGCATGCAAAAGTTCGTCATATACGCTTTGCACACATGCCATGCCAAGCAAATAAACAACATGCCACTCTATAAGCTTAAGTGGGCCCAAGTCACACAAGATGTCCGGGGCTTGCTTGAGTGGGTTGTGGTATGGATGGTAATAAGTTGTCATGAGGCCCATTAATGGGTTGATAAATGGAGGTTCCGGGTTGTTTGGGAGCCTCGGAACCCAAGCTCATTTCTTAGGCCCAAATATATGGGTGAGCACAAAAGGGAAAATAACTCAACCAAAATAAACCAACCAAAAAGCCCAATCAAAATGGTCCACTAAAATTAACCCCTATAGCCTAATATTTGATGAAGGTGGCCCATTTGTTTGGTAGGTTGACTTCCTTTCCTAGAAGACCCATACAATTAGAAGTAGCAAGCAGCAAAGACTCCATCTTTTGGCTGAAAGATAAAGCCACGAAGGAGTTTGGAAGACCACGTGGGTTGCTGGGAAGGAAGGAAAAAGTTTTCAAGCAAAACATCCAAGAGACCAAGAGATATTGGCACGCAAGGAGCTACCCTCCGAACTAGCATGTATTCACATTCTCTTTCCCTCCCTCATTAGACCTGGCCATAAAAAAAAAAAAAAAAAAAAAAGGAAAGAAGATGGCTGAAAATAGAAGTCTGAAATAGCCACGAGAAAGGGGGCCTTGAGCTCCCAAAAATCCCTGATTTTGTGCAAATGGGCAGAGTGGATTTCACCAAAATAGGATGATTGAAGAGATGAGAGGAGAAAGGAAGGAAAAGACTTGGCCAAATTGGATAGAAACCATTAGGGTTTCTTGGAAAATGTCAGCTTCCAGCGACTATAAAAGGGGCTTTCTTCTACCCAACAAGCATCAACCAAATCAGAGAGCAAGCTTCCTCTCTTACTCCCAAAACCCAGCAATTTCGTGCTCAACTCATCCTTTTCCCTTAGTTTTCCCTCTTGGCAAGCTGTTCTGACACTTGACAGAGTCTCTGTCAAGCTGCTGGAAAAACACTTAAGCCACATTTTTCTCTCTTTTTCCTCATGCTCAACAAAACCTCTCTGCAAAATCCTTTCTCTCCAACCTTAATACCCCATCTTTCCCCTAGGAACACTTAGTTTTCTCTTCAGTGCTAAACTCATGACAATTTTGCTCTCATGCCACAAGCTTCTCATGCCAAGCTAGAAAATTTATCTGTAAGTTGTTGTTATTTTCATTGGTGAAGGTAACCAAAGTGTTTCCTAAGGCTTCTCTATCCTTTCGAAGCATTCTTGGGGCTTGATCTTCGAACTCAAGCTCTGGGGCAATTTCATCCATTTTGCTATTTACTGCAGTCCAGGCCCGTAGTAGTTGCTGGAACGAAAAAGCCCCTACAAGGGTCAAGGTTCGAGTACCTTCAATGACACAACATATATATATATATTTTAAAGGTGAATAAAGGGCAACGGAGTTGGTCTCCTGTAGATGGCGGCAGGCCGACGGTGTTGGTTGCCAACGATGGGTGGTGGCCAGAGGTGGGTGGTGGCCGGCAACGGGTGGCGGGTGGCTGGTGGTGGCCTACGGGTGGTGGCGAGTGGCTAG